CTGCATCCTGCCCCCCAGTCACCCCTCAGCCCTGGTGAACTAGCTCGCCCACAGGCCCAGGACCTCTCTTACAGAGGTCAGAGGTCACAGCCTGCAACGCCAGGCCCTTGCCCTCCGTGACCCCTCCGCACCCTTAGCGGCCCAGACCTTCCTGTCTTCCTGGACCCCCTCCTTCCTTGGCTCCTGGCCCCCGGGACCTTCCGGTTCACGTCGTACAGGATGAGAGACCCTAGAAGGTCCGTCCGATGTCTCTTCTGGTCTTTGCACACATCCTCCCAAAGCTTCATCGCTCCAGTGCTGACCACCTAGGGCAACATCCAAAGCCATCTGGCCAGAAACCGGCTGGATGTCCCCCTCCCCTGACACTACTCTTATTCTGTCCCCCAGCAGCCACCCCAGAACTCCTGCAGCTCCCGTGCCCCCTACCCTGGTGCATGGCTAGCGACTTGAAGCCAGTCTCTCCCTACATTTATTACCGGTTTTGGTTGACCCTGCCTTCCAAATCTCTCTGGAATGCTCTTCCCTCTGTCTCCCCCACTGGAGCCATGGGGTGGTCTTTGACCTCATACCCAGAGACCCTCTCCGTCCTCCTCTGCCTGGGGTAGTCCCCTCTCCAGGTCCCTGCATGCCTGGCTTCAACCTTCCCCTTCACCTCCCACCTCATCGGCCACTGACACTTTCTCTCTTCCATCCGGTCGCCTGGCCTTCCTGCTCCTGGTGCCACCTCAGGACCTTCTGGAAGCCTTTTCCACCAGAGCAGCAGTTCTCAAGCTTTCTAGTCTCATGACCCCATTAGGTTCTTAAAATTGAGACCCTGAGGGGCACCTGGGTGGCTCAGCCGGTTGGGCATCAGCTCAAGTCATGATCTCAGGGTCCTGGAATCGAGCCCGGCATCAGGCTCCCTGCTTGGTGGCGACGGCGGCAGGGGTGGGGTGGGGTGGGGTCTGCTTGAGATTCCCTCCCTCTCCTTCTGCTCCTCCCCTACATGACTAAACAAAATGAATAAATCTTTTTAAAAATGTGTGTAAGGACCCCAAAGAGCTTCTGTTTGTGTTCCCATGAGTTCTATCGGTATTTACCAATATGGACATTAAATCTAAGAATGTTTTAAAACCTGAGCCTACACAAGCACATGTCCAATCAGCAGTCGGAGCAATGATGTCATGGGGGAAACCCTCGTACACTCCTGAGAGGCGACCAGTAGAAGGAGCACGTAGTGTCTTGGCGGTGTTTCCACCTGCAGGGTGGGAAGGAAGGGTCTCCGAATCCCTAGACGACACCCTGAGAACTGCTGCACCACCTAATACCCTTCTGTCCCTTTCCCATCATTTCGGTCTTGGTGCACATGTCACCTGCTCGGAAAACCTTCTCTGCCCCTCTTGTTCCCTCCCCAAATCAGTCTACCCTGGTACCGTGACCATCGGAAATTAGCCATTTTCTTGCTTCCTTCGTGGCTCCGCACTAGAACGCCAGCCCCGTGCAGGTCAAGGGCCAGACTCCTGTTCAGCTCGGCGGAGCCCAGCCTAACACACAGGAGACATTCAAAATAAGTAGAAAAAGGAATCCCTGGGTGGCACAGTGGTTTGGCGCCTGCCTTTGGCCCAGGGTGCGATCCTGGAGACCCGGGATCGAATCCCACATCGGGCTCCCGGTGCATGGAGCCTGCTTCTCCCTCTGCCTGTGTCTCTGCCTCTCTCTCTCTCTCTCTCTCTCTCTCTCTCTCTGTGACTATCATAAATAAATAAAAATTAAAAAAAATAAGTAGAAAAAAAGAGATTTTTATTATTTTTTTAAAGATTTTATTTATTTATGAGAGACACAGGGAGAGAGAGAGAGAGAGAGAGGCAGAGACACAGGCAGAGGGAGAAGCAGGCTCCATGCAGGAAGCCCAACATGGGACTCGATCCTGGGTCTCTAGGATCATGCCCTGGGCTGAAGGCGGTGCTAAACCGCTGAGCCACCCAGGGATCCCCAAAGAGAGAGAGATTTTTATTTTTTTTTATTTTTTTTTAATTTTTATTTATTTATGATAGTCACAGAGAGAGAGAGAGAGAGAGAGAGAGAGAGAGAGGCGCAGAGACATAGGCAGAGGGAGAAGCAGGCTCCATGCACCGGGAGCCCAATGTGGGACTCGATCCCGGGTCTCCAGGATCGCGCCCTGGGCCAAAGGCAGGCGCCAAACCGCTGCACCACCCAGGGATCCCCGAGAGAGAGATTTTTAAATAATTGAGTTGTTCTCCAGCCTTTGCTGCATACCGAAGTCACGGGGGTGGGGGGGTGTTGTAAGACGCCTGCATCCCACCATCCAAATTAGCGTCCGGGGGCGAATGTAGGCATTGGTGCTTCTTCCTAAGGCTCCCCCAAGTGACTCCAGTGTGCGACCAAGAAGAACCATGGGCCTAAATTCTTAAATTGTCACTGACGGAGAGACCGTGGCTTCCTCCCTGGGTCCGAGTTACACAGGGTCTATGAGGGCCGCTCCCCGTCTTGCCAGTCTCTCTCTGGACTGGGCAGCCGGGCGTCAGGGCAGTGGGTTGGAGGAAGCTATTAGGCCAGAGCCCTCCAGGGGTTGGGGAGGGCCCTCCTCGGACCCGATCCGGGGCCTTGGACTATAGCGATGGGGTCCGCATGTTGTGAGCCCACAAACATCCGCAGGGCCCCCTGTAGCGGGCGCACGTCCCCCCCATGCAGCCTGTGGGCCGCTGGTGCTTTGGTGACTCAGGGAGTGTGACAGTGACTTCAGTGGGGAGACGGAGAAATGAGGCAGGTCCCCAGATTACCCTGGGCCTGGGGATGTCTCCCACCCACCGCCCTCGCCTCTGAAGTGCAGCCACGTGTAGCCAGGAAATGACACACCTTTAGGCTCCTATGGCCTAGGTGAGCAACACTCCCCTCGCTGAACGGTCCCCAGGACCCCCGCCTGCTTCAGGGACCCTGCAGCCTGTGCCGGGCACCCCTGCCCAGGGCTGGAGTCAGCCACCACCCGGCCCCCGAGCAGCTCGAGGCTGGAGCTGCTAGTGAGTTCGTCGCCGCGGTTGTCAAAGGGAGATCGCACTCTCCATTGCACGAGGGGGGACACTGAGGCACAGAGAGGTTTTGATGACTTGAGGAGAGGCACCTCGCCGGGTCTGTTTCAGATGACTATGTAGTAGATTGGGACGCGGAGCTCTTGAGGATTAAAACCTCAGAACAGCTGTGTGACCCTGGAGACGTTGCGCGACCCTCCTACATCCGGCTCCTTGACTCACAGGGCTGACGTAATGGATGCAAAAGCTCTAGATGTGAGCATGAGGCTGAGAAGTTGCTCAATAAATACTAATTACATTATCGTTCTTATTGGTTCCCAAAGCCTTCTTTCCATTACAGCCTGGCGCTTCCCAGAGGAAAATCACTTGCACGCAATTTTAAGTCCTTTCACACGCATCACAACCCATTTGCCTTCTGCGGTGGCCCCAAGAAGTTGAATCGTCCGTGCACCCCACTTTGTTTTTGCTTTTTGATGAAGACAGTGGGGTCCAGAGAGGCCAAGGCACCTGCTCAGGTCCCACAGGGGTGAATGGTAGATGTCCCAACCCCCCAGTCTAGAACCTTCTCCCTCCCCACCTCCAAAGCAGCAGCAGCGGCAAAGGCCCATGACAGACCCTGGCCCCAAGCAGAGGTTACACCCTGGGTTCTTGGTGAGGAGAGAGGCGGGGAAGCCCGAGGTGGGAGGGGGTGCAGAGGGGAGGGTGGGGCTGCGTCCTTGATGTGGTGGCTGGGCCCTGTCGGGGTTGTGGCCACAGTCCTAGGGTTTGGCTAGGACGGCAACCGCCATTTCCGCTGGTGTGGCAATGCCGGGTGGGTCTGCAAACCCACGCCAGGCGGGGCTGGGGAAGGGAGGATGCTCTGCTTGGCCTGGTCCGTGGCTCTTCGTCTGGGGTGGGGGTCCGCCCCTGCCCGGTTTGGCTTCCACCCCCCGGCCCAGCTCCTAGACCCCGGCTTCCTCCTGGTGGATGGCATTAACCCCAAGTCTTTTCTGAGAGGTGATAACGGGTTGGGACTGGGAGGCACCTCTTCAGACCCTTTAGAGAACATGATCCTGTGACGGCGATTGCCTGTGTCCAGAAGGCTGGGTCTCAGGAGCCTTTGGGGGCAGAGCAAGGCCAGATTCCGCACCCACCAGCAAGGAGGCAGGAGGAGAGGGGGTCTGTCCGTGGCTCTGGGGTCGCTGCTTGCCGTAGGTCCAGAAGGAAGCTGGGCAGGACCAGAGACACATTTTGCAGGGCTCAGTGCAAAATGTAAATCTCCCCTCTGCTTCCAAAACTATTAAGAATGTCAAGGGGGTGACACCAGCCAGGCCCGGTTGACCCTTCTAAGCACAGGTCACAGGCCCCTGAAGCTGCCTTGAAGTGGGACCTAGAGAAAGTGGATACAGGATGAGGCCGCATGAATAGGGCGGCCACAGGGGTCTTCTCCTGGCCCCCGGGGTCTCCTGACCCAAATGAGGAGACCCTGTAAACACAGGGATGGACAGTTTAGGGGCCGCACTCAACAGTTTCTAGCCAGACTCCACGCTCCACCGAGGCATTTGTAACTCCCCCAAGTCACCAGTGCACTCAGCCAACCAGCACCCGCAGGGAGTCCACGTCCTGCCTTATTTGGAGGAGGGAGGGCGTTCAACTTCCATCCCTGTCTTGGGGGAGTTCAGAGTGCTGGGAAAAGATGTCATGCTTGGAGCCCATCTGGGAAAAAGTTGTCTGGAGCTGTTCCTTTAGTTTACGGAACTGACAACGGAGGATGGCAAGTACAGAGGGTGACGGCCCAGAAAAGGGTCAAAGTACTAACAACGGGCTCGGTCGGCTCTGGCCCCCCAGGCCCCCCTCTCCGGGGCTTCGCGTGGTCGGGAAGCCTGATGTCCCTGGTTCGGCAGTGGGATGGGGACCAGTTTTCAGAGCAGCATAAGCCAGGGGTAATTTTTAGCACAGACTTCACTTTCTAGTTCTTTTCCCTACCCCTCATTTTTCAGTTGCCTTTAAAGAGGCCGCAGAGAGCTGAAAAACAAATCCAAGTTTAAAGAGACAAGTGCAAAAATGCAAACCGGGCAAGGGGACAGAGCCACCAGCTGGACTAAATGTGCCTGGAGAAGCGCGTCCTCTGCTTGGCAGGTGCTGGGGATTTATGGTCGAGTTTCGTAGACGTTTCACCACGTTATGAGCCAGCTCAGGAGACCCTCATAAAACTCTGCTTATATGAAAGAACAAACTAGCTGATAAAAGTCAGCTGCTGCCTATAAACGCGCTGTGGGGATCGCAATTGAGTGGTGGATTTATTAGTCTGGGCTCTTTGTGCAAATTAAGAACGAGTGCGCAGGTCTGAAGGAGGGGGGGCTGCAGAGAGCCCGAGGGCGCTGAGGGTTGCTTCCCTCCCTGCTCACATGACGGCACCCCTCCCCCGTTCCTTTCTCCAGTAGAGGGCAGAGGGAAGATTCTCGATGGAATTCGTTGCTGGGGATCTGCTCTTACATTCCCCTTCCTGCCCCCCCCCCCAAAACCCACAGGAAGAACCCGTCGGCCCCCATCCCCTGCATCCCCCACATGTCCTGTATGACAGCGGTTCGAAACCTGGGATTACGCGTCCGTGGACGTCTCCGTGGCCCCGGTTCCGCGTGGGGCGTGCGGGGAGGCCTCCGAATGAGTGAATACGGATGTGGGAGCCTGCACGGTGCCATCTATGGAACTTACTACGCTCCAAACGGTACATAGGGGTTGGGGGCAGAGGACCGAGCAGGTGCCATGAAGCCACCAGGGAAGACAGGGTGCAATCGGGAAGTGAGGAAGGCTCAGCTTCTTCCCCAGAGAAGGGGGATCTCTATGGCTACTCTCCCCAGCTCCCTTGCCACTGTTTTTTTGTTTGTTTGTTTGTTTTTGGTTTTTAAGGATTAACGCTCTTTCTGAAAGAATGAGGCTGCAACAGAATGAGGGTCCTTGATAAGAAGGCAGGTAGCCAGCCCCTCCTCGCACATGCCAGATCAGGACGTCCAGGCTGGAGCCTCAAATGCTGTACCAGGCACCCGTCTCAGAAAAAATGGCTTTCCTTTGCACCCTGTAGGGACGGAGGAGGGTGCCAGGAACGAGGTGGAGGGAGAGTGCCCGGAAGACGCACCGCTGTCATTCCTTAAGGACTGGCTACCTCCTCCCAGCCCAGGCATTAGGGGGCAAAAGTGTCCAGCCCTCGCAGTCTGGGACCGAGGGAGGCTCACCAGCAGGGTTGCAGCTGCCCTGAGAGAGGCCTGGGTGCCTCTGCATTCCGAGGAACCCTGCCCTGTGCAGGACTGGGTGTTCAGGAAACCCAGCTGTTAGTTGAGTGGGTTTCAGGGGTGCTCCTGCCTTCTGCAGCAGGGAGGAAGCTGGTGAAGGGGAAAGACTCCTTCTATCAGAACCAAAAAAACCCTGGTGCAGACTGTGGCAACATCACTGCGTCACTGCCGGGCGGTGGGCGCTTAGGAAACTCCGGGGGGTTGAGGGTTGGAGATGCTCAAGAGCACCGCAGAGCTGCCCACTTAGTGGGTGGCTAATCAGTCTGGAGTAAATGTCAACCACCCCTTCCATGTTGCTCAATGTATCCCAACCCTTCCTATCTCCTCTCAGCTAAACCTTCCGATCGTGTAAGGAATAGATCGTCAGCTCCGTCATACCAAAGAAGAAACTGGAACTGAGAGGGAAGACGGCTTAGCCGAGGTCACTCAGCTGGTAAGACGGTGAGCCGAGATGCGAACCCGGGTCTGGGCCACTTGCAGTTCAGCAGGCTTCCCCGAGCTCCTTCCCTTCTCCTCCAAACGTGCACCGTCCCGCGCCAAGCGTGCAGAGAGGAGGCACTCTGGGCAGCTGAATCTCTCAACAGCTGGAGCTGGTACCCCGTTGTCCAGATTCAAGTCAGACACTGCACAATCCGGACTCCTCTGGCCGGCTGAAGTCCTCCTCTTAGGAGCCTAGGATCCTGCCGGCTTTGAAAAACTGCTACTCTGCCAAGAGACTGTTGAAGTCAAGTTCTTTTCTTTCTTTCTTTTTCTTTTTCTCTTTCTTTCTTTCAGATTTTTTTATTCATGAGAGACACACAGAGAGAGAGGCAGAGATACAGGCAGAGGGAGAAGCAGGATCCCTGCAGGAGCCCGATGGGGGACCCCAGGATCACACCCTGAGCTGAAGGGAGACGCTCAGCCACTGAGCCACCCGGGCGTCCCTGTTGAGGTCAATTTCTAAACGTGCGTGGGGTAGAGACAGGAATGAAAGAGACCTAAGTTCTTCATTTCACCCCAACAGATTGTCTCATCGACAGGGAAGGGGTTCTGACCATCAAGAGTCTACTCCCCCCAACTGAGGGAAAACAGAAAAGAGCTCACATCTACTATCTCAACCCATAAGCTAGGATATGCTTTGAGAGGGAGCATGGGGGGGCGGGGGGGGGGTAGCCTGGGTGGCTCAGTTGGTTGCACGTCCGACTCTTGATTTAGGCTCAAGTCATGACCTCAGGGTGGTGAGATCGAGCCCTGCATCAGGCTCCATGCTCGGCAGGGAGTCTGCTTGCTATTCCCTCCTGCCTCTCCCTAGCTTGCTTGTTTGCTGACAAATAAAATCTTTAACAAAAAAGGAGGGCAGCTCCGGTGGCTCAGGGGTTTAGCACCGCCTTCAGCCCAGGGCCTGATCCTGGAGACCCGGGATCGAGTCCTACATAGGGCTCGCTGCATGGAGGCTGCCTCTATGTATCTCTCATGAATAAATAAATAAAATCTTAAAAATATAAAAAGGAGCCCTGGAATTATTCCCACTACGAGGATTCTCCTTACTTTATAAATTAAAAATGAACCCAGGAAAAATGCCAACAGAGTCCTTTCTTCATTGGGGGTTAGTGGCGGAGGTGGGGTGGGGTATGTGGTATGATTAGCTAACCGAAAAATCCCAGGGAAAACGGGCATAATGAACAGGGGTGGGAGTACAAGAAGGCTGCAGAGACTGGTAAGGCACTAAGACTTTGGAAACCTAATGTCCATCAGCAAGGAGCTAAATAAACTATGGTATGCCCAAACAATGGAAATATATGCCACTGTTTTAGAAAAAGTTAAGGAAGCTCTATGGATTCACATAGAATAGTCTCCAAGATACAGTAATGGGGGGGGGGTGCAAAGCTGCCTATGTAGCATGCTATTATTCGTTCAAAGTTAGGGAGAAAAAACATTTGCTTGTTGTATTATCTTTTGCTGTGGGACAAAGTACCCCAAAACTTAATGATTTAAAACAAACATTTAGGGCAGTCCCAGTGGCTCAGAGGTTTAGCACCGCCTTTGGCCCAGGGTGTGATCCTGGAGACCTTGGGATCGAGTCCTGTATCGGGCTCCCTGCATGGAGTCTGCTTCTCCCTCTGCCTCTGTGTATGTGTGTGTGTCTCTAATAAGTAAACAAAATAAAGTCTTTAAAAATAAATAAATAAAAATAAAACAAACATTTATTGTGTTTCCATGGGTCAGGAACCTGGGCACGGCCTCGCTGGCTGCCGTTGTCTTAGGTCCCCGTGAAGTTGTAGCTGGGTGGTTAGCTGGGGCTGTGATCTCAACTGAAGGCTCAACTGGGTGGGGTAGCGGGGTGGGCAGCTGCTTCCAAGCTCAGTCACGGGCTTGCTGGCAGGCTTCGGTCTCTTACACGAGTGCTCCACGGGGCTGCCCTGGAGCCCTGCAGCTCACCTCCCTGAGGGCGAGGGATCGGAGAGCTAGCGATAGACCCATGCGGGAAGCTTCGGGCTCTTTTCATCGGTTAGTTTCAGTAACATCCCACCACTTCTGCAGGGTTCCGTTCCTAGAAGCAAATCTGTGGGCCCAGCCACACCGAAGGGGGGGGGAGGGTACACCAGGACATGAATACCGGAGGTGGGACCCTTGAGGGCTAGCTAAGAGGCTGCCAACCACTGCACGGATATGGGCAGAGAGTGTTTTTGGAAGAATACATCAGAAACATTTCATGCTCGTTGCCTCCAGGGAAAGGGAAGTGAGTAACTGGGAGATGAGAACTTTTCACTGAATGTGCTCTCGTACCCTCTGAATTTTGCATGATGTGAATGTGTCGCTTATTCAAAAGATAAACTTATTTCAAATTTAAAAAGGACAATTAAAAAGATAGCATCTTAATCGTAAAAAAAAAAAAAGCTAAGGAACAAAATAAAAAGTCATACTTATGTGATACATAGTTATTATTAAGCACCGTAAAACACCTTATCTATTTATGGCCAGGATTTTTTTTTTTAGATTTTTTTTTAAATTTATTCATGAGAGACACACAGAGAAAGAGAGGCAGAGACACAGACAGAAGGAAAAGCAGGCTCCATGCAGGGAGTCTGACGTGGGACTCGATCCTGAGTCTCCAGAATCAGGCCCTGAACCAAAGGCAGATGCTCAACTGCTGAGTCACCCAGGTGCCCTTATGGCCAGGATTTAAAAAGCTCTGTGCCACACACACACACGACAACTCCAACTTGCAGAACAAAACACACACTCTGGAAGCAGGCCTTCAGGGCTCCTCACAATCGGGCTCCAGTCTACCCTTACGGGGCCATTCCTCCATCCGTGAACCCTAGTGACTCACTCTGTGGAACTACTAATATTTGCCAGTTCTAGGAGGTAAAAGCAACAAGCACAACGCCTGGCACACCGCACTTTCGATCCGTGCTGGGTTCCAGTCTTTCTCAAACACTCCCTTTGCTTATTAGACTGCCGCCCTCCACACTCAACACCCCGCGCTCCTCTCCATCCCCAAGTCCTAACTCAGATGTCACTATCACTATCAAGTATCCCAGTGAGCAGCGGGTTATCACCTCTCTTCTGTTTTTGTGTCAGATACCCGTTTTTATTACCTTATTTCCTCACAACTTATACCTGGAGGTTCGTGCCCTTTAATCCCCTTTGCCTATCTTGTCCATCCTCCAACCCCCCCAAAACACTATTATTATTGTTTTACAATTTAAGTGTGTTCGATTCAGGCTGGTCCCTGGATTGTCAGCTTCAATAGTACCTGAGACCATGTGAGAAATACAGAATCTAGGACTCTGCCACCCCAGGCCTGCAGAATCCGAATCTAAATTTTACCAAGAGCCCGGTGATTTCTATACACGTTAAACCTTGAGAGACACTGGTTTCAATCTTTCCCTGGTTGAACTATAAATCTTTCTAGGGATCTCTTTCATCTGCCCCCAGAGTATATCTTATGGCCTGATACCCAAATGTCTTTTGAGTTAAGTTTTATTTACAATTATTACATATGTGATACGTTTTTTAAATTCCTGGAGGAATGTCTACCATATTGTTAAAAACAGAAGACACCGTGTGTTTTCACTTTCTGTGATATTTCTGTTTTTCGCAACCAGAATGTGAGATCTTTACAGGCACAAACACATGAAGATTTGGAAAAGTAGAAAATCTAATACATTCACAAAATGGTATATGATGTGTGTAATAGTATCTACTGTAATTGTGTTGAGCTATTTTTACAGATATGAAAAGACGGGCAAACTATGTTTTTTGAACAAGATTAAATAACCCTATAGATAGATCAATGACGCTATATTTGGGTTTGGTTCTTTTGTGTGAATATGGACACCGTAAGGGTCTATATACCAAAATATCACTGATGGATTTTTCTTTATTTGTACTTTTCTACACTTAAGAATTTTTTTGACATTTCTATGATTTTTAAAAAGTATATATATATATATATATAACTTTTGTAGTAAGGAAAAAGTCATCTTCATTTTAAAAATATCTATACTCTTTTTTAAGCCTCTTTACATCCAGTGACCCAGATTTTTCCACAACCCCCGAAGCTGATAGGTCTGGAAATACCCGACCATTTTACAGATGAAGGCGATGGGCTTCAGAAATGTAACCCCCAGGGCCTGATTCAGGGAGGTCTTCTCCCACCGTGGAGCTACTCTCAGATCAGAACAATGTGGCGAATCAGGCGCCAGCTTTGGTCAAAACCCCTGTCATTGTAACCATCTCGCTCTCCCCAGCTACTAACTGGGACAGGGGGACACAGAGAACTCCTCAAAGTCGGAGCCCTGAGCATAATTCATGCTGCACCACCTCCCCCTGGTGGTGGCTCTAGAAACTGGAGCTGTCCAGACCGTGAGGAGCTACAGCAGTTAGGGAACAGGGACACTCGGCTGGGACGATGCTTTGACTTGCGGTTTTTCGACTCTTACGATGGTGCAAAATGCCATACGTGTCCACCAGAAACCGTCCTACGCATTTTGAATGTGGCTCTCTCCCTGGGCTGGCAACTTGCGGGATGCTTGTGATGCTGGGCGGCGGCAGCATGCCACAGCTCAGTCAGCCCCGAGATCACAGGGCAAACAACCTGCAGCCATTCTGTGCCTGTACAGCTATTCTGTTTTTCAACCAATTACAGAAGATATTCAACATTTCATTGTAAGTTTGTGTTAGATGATTTTTGCCCAACTGTAGGCTAGTGTGAGTGCTTGGGCACCGGTTTGGTAGGTTAGGTGTATTAAGAGCATTTCTGACTTCCGATATTTTCAACTTATAATGGCATTATCAGGAGGTAACCCATCGAGAAAGATCTGTACTGTCTTCCATCAATATCACCTTTACTTCTTTAAATCGAGAAGAATCCTGTTCCATCAAGGAATCAGGTACTGACCCAAATACATGGAACAGGGCCAGGTGTCAACCAAGCTCAGAGCTTTGGATGATGCCGAGGGCAAGGCCACACTCCCTCCCCTCTCCCTCCCCACTGCTTCTGTGGCAGTGGCTCCTGCCCCAGTGTTCTGCACTGCTTTCCCCCATTCTCTCTGCCTCCTTCCATTCCCAAGCCTATGAAAGGCCAACCGGTGGCCCATGTGCCCTCAGCCATGATGTCGCAGGGAGAGGTCCCAACATCAGAAGCCTGTCCTCAGGCTCTAGGCACTGATTTTTCTTTTCTTTTTTTAAGGTTTTATTTATTTATTCATGAGAGACACAGAGAAAGAGGCAGAGATACAGGCAGAGGGAGAAGCAGGCTCCCTACAGGGAGCCCGATGTGGGACTGGAACCCGGGTCTCCAGGATCACGCCCTGGGCTGAAGGTGCTGCTAAACCGCTGAGCCATTCGGGTTGCCCTAGGCACTGATTTTTCAAGTATGTCAGGTCACCACACTAGAAAGCACCAATATCAGTCTTCAGCTGCGTCCCCCTTGTCTGCTGACACACAGCTTTCTTACTCTTCCAGGAAAAAGGAAACATTCAACAGGGTATCTGGAATAGGAGAGAAAAACTGTAGCATATCACCCTCTCCAGAGAATGCAAAACATCAGATTTATAAGAAACACAGACGCACTGCAAGGGCATCTCTGTAATGCTTCCAAAGAAGTGAGACACACACACACACACACACACACACACAGAGCAGACACAAAGGAATAAATGAAAACCAGCACCTTGTACAAGGCTTTGGTGCTCATCTTCTGAAATTTGGTCCCAGGCCTTGGGCAAAGCTTGGATGTTTGCCAAGTCTCCCCACTGGATCGAGGACAGGAGGTACTTTCTCTTCAGGTAACTTCCTGGAAGTTAAGGACTGCCCTAAAAGCAAATGAAATATGTTGAAGGGGAGGGGATCCCTGGGTGGCTCAGCAGTTTGGCACCTGCCTTTGGCCCAGGGCATGATCCTGGAGTCCTGGGATCGAGTCCCACATCAGGCTCCCGGTGTGGAGCCTGCTTCTCCCCCTGCCTGTGTCTCTGCCTCCCCCTCTCTCTATCATTCATAAATAAATAAATAAATAAATAAATAAATAAATAAATAAATAAATAAATAAATCAGAAAGGAAAGAAAGGAAGAAAGGAAGAAAGGAAGAAAGGAAGAAAGAAAAGAAAAGAAAAGAAAAGAAAAGAAAAGAAAAGAAAGAAAGAAAGAAAGAAAGAAAGAAAGAAAGAAAGAAAGAAAGAAAGAAAGATGTTGAAGGGGAAAAATGCCCAGGGGAGAGCGACCGGGAGCCAGAAGAGTGAAAGGGTGGCTATCGTTCCATTTACCAGGTGGCAGGACTCACCAACGCTACCGATCTTTACCGAGCACCTTCTCACTCATAGAGCTACAAGGCCAGAGGGATGAAATGTTACCCCAACAACCTAGGATCTCACCATCAAAAAAAAAAAAAAAAAAAGCCAGGAACTGAAAAGATACAATCTCAGTGATGTTAAAAGGGAAACCGTATGGCAGTCCCGAGGATGGATGAAAACCTCCCTTTGGGGGGGGGGGGTGGCAGCAGCAGGATTCCGGCTGGCAGGAAAGGCGTAAGCAAAGGCACAGAAGTGGAGAAGCACGGACTGGTTTCAGGGCCGAGTAAATCCTCCCATCTGGCCAGCAAGGAACAATAGCAGGGAAGGTGGCTGAGAAGGCAGGTCGAGCCAGAACATAAAGAGCACTGAAGACCACCGTGGGGATTCCGGTCCGTGAGCAATGGAAGCTGCTCAAAATTCCAATGTTGGCAACGGGCAGAACAAAGACATCTCCAGAAGGAAGTGAGGTCACAACGGCTGGAGCCAGCTTAGAGGGAGAGAAGCCAGAGGTGGAGAAACCTATCAAGAGGCTGCATAGACCAGGGGCCACACGAGACGCAAGAAACTACGGAAGAGGCAGTGCAGATACAGAAAGAAGATACAAGGGCCCAGGGAACAGAATCAAAGCACCTGCCAAGGGGTCGCGTGGACATTCTCAGAACAGTACCTGGCACATCATCAGTGCTCAGTACTGCTGGCTGCGGCTCCATCAAAAACACAGGCTGATTGTTACCTCCTTCTCAAAACCTTTGAATAGCTTCCCGTCCCACTCAGAACAGAAGCCAAGATCCTTTCAAAGACCTCCAAGGCCCTGCAAGGTCCGGCCTGGTCTCTCGGAATCCGTCTCCTACCGGGCTCCCCTTCCTCACTCCAGTCTAGCAACACTGGCATCCGCGCTACTTTCTGAACATATCAGGCCTGCTCTTACCTCAGGGCCTTTGCACTTGACATTTCTTCTACCTGGGACACCCTTCCCCCGAGTATCAACTGGTTCTCTCCCTCATCTTCCTTAGGTCTTTTCTCAAATGTCACTATTTCAGTGAGGCCTCTCCTGACCACCCAGTTTAAGATCACAGCCCCGCCCTCGCCCTTCGCTTGCCCCGCTTCATTTTTCCCCAAGTTCAGAGACAATGAGAACTGACCCGCACTCTATAGTCGTATGCTCTCGTGAAAACTGAAATGAAAAAGACTTCCTGAGGCAGCTTTGGACACTGTCTGAAACATATTCGCAAAGGATACGCATTTCGATAGTGTCTCTCAATATCCTGCAACCACTCCAACATGTCAGCCACAGAGGGGCTCACCGCTGAAGCCTGCTGGACAGCATCAATGCCAATCGCGTCTGCGTGCCGCTCATAGACCTCAAACACTTGTTCCACGTGCCTGCTGACAACGTCACGCACCTTGAGGAGGGTGGCTCTGGGGGGAAAAGTCTCACATTAGGCAACACCACGAGAGGAACCTAAGGCAGGAGTCCTCAACCTCAGCACATGCACATTTCAATTTGGACGGTCCCTTGTGGTGGAGAGTTGTCCTGTGCGTGTTAGGATGCTGAGCAGTATCCTCGGCCTCTACCCGCTAGATGAGAGGAGCAAACCACATCAGGACGATCAATCGGGTCTCCAGACACTGCCAAATGTCCCAGTGAGAAAAACTGCTCTGGGTGCACAGAGAGAGACTACTGCAGACAGGAGAAAAGTTACTTAACGCTCAATCATGTATAAAAATGGTGTTGCTCACTGCACACCCTAAGTGCTCACGACCCTGAGACTGGCACGTAGAATGACAAACACTTGTTCAATGAATGAATGGAAACGGTTCTTGTGAGGATCAAATGCAATAATGCTTATAAAGTGCATAGGGAAGTGCCCAGCTCACAGTAGGCATAATGGTGGTAATACTGTTATTATTCCAGGGTGTGATCCTGGAGACCTGGGATCGAGTCCCACATGAGGCCCCCGGCATGGAGCCTGCTTCTCCCTCCGCCTGTGTCTCTGCCTCTCTCTTTGTGTGTCTCATGGATAAATAAATAAAATCTTAAAAAAAAGGGTATCCCTGGGTGGCTCAGTGGTTTAGTGCCTGCCTTCGGCCCAGGTCGTAACCCTGAAGTCCCGGGACGGAGTCCCAAGTCGGGCTCCCGGCATGGAGCCTGCTTCTCCCTCTGCCTGTGTCTCTACCTCTCTTTCTCTATGTCTATCATAAATAAATGAATAAATCTTTAAAAAAAATCTTAAAAAAAATAACTGTCTCTCTTCTAATCTACAAAGAAACCAAGCCTGGTTCATTGCTATATTCCCACCACCTTGTGCGTGGCTTAATTACAGGTGCTCAGCTCTCTTGTACAAATGACTACAAAGAAGATCCCTGTACTTGACCGGTTCCCGTTAGCCTAGGGCACAGACCGTGTACACTGGACACTTCTTTTGCTCTAGTCGAGAAAAGGCCTATCCACGCGGGGTGCCTTTGTCAGGGATGCATTCCCTTGCGATTCTGGCTCAGGTCATGTTGTTAACGGGTCGTGACATGGGAGCCCTGCATGGCGCTCTGCGCCCAGCTGGGAGTCTCCTTGAAATGCTCTCTCTCCCTCTGCCCCTTTCCCCACTTGTCCCCTCTCTCTAAAAGGGAAGGGAAGGGAAGGGAAGGGAAGGGAAGGGAAGGGAAGGGAAGGGAAGGGAAGGGAAGGAAGGGAAGGAAGGGAAGGGAAGAAGGAAGGGAAGGAGGAAGGGAAGAAGGAAGGGAAGGAGGAAGGGAAGGGGAGGAAGGGAAGGGAAGGAAGGGAGGGAAGGGAAGGAAGGGAAGGGAGGGAAGGGAGGGAAGGGAGGGAAGGGGAAGGGAGGGAAGGGAGGAAGGGAAGGAAGGAGGGCAGACTGCACATTGAGTGCAGAGCCCCAGCGCCGGGCTTGACCTCACCACCTGAGAGCACGACCTGAGCCAAAACCACAGAGCCCAAAGCCCGACTGACCGCGCCAGCCAGGTGCCCCTGTAAAACGACTTTGTGGCAAGAGGTCCCATCGCGGGGAACCCCCGGGTGGCTCAGCGGGTGAGCATCTGCCTGCAGCCCAGGGCGTGACCCTAGAGACCCCGGATGGAGTCCCACGTCGGGCTCCCTGCGTGGAGCCTGCATCTCCCTCCGCCTGCGTCCCATGCACAAATAAATAAATAAAGAGGTCCCGTTGCAACAAATGGAGAAGAGGCGAGGCTGCGACACCTCCTTCCAGGGAAGGAGAAACCCCCTCTCCGACTGATCCCAGCTGCTTAGGGAGCCCCCGCGTCTCCACCCTCCCGCGCGGAGCTCTTCTTACAGCGTCTCCCCTAGCTTGTCCAACACGTCGTCGCCAGCCTCCAGCTGCTTGCGCCGCAGCCGCTCCCGCAGGCCCGGGAAGGCCCGAAGCGGGGGCGCGTCGTCCAGCCGCGCGTTCTGAGCCGCCTGCAGCTGCTCCGCCAGGCTGCCGAGCGCCGCCAGCAGGGGCCGGCAGTCCCCGAGCGCGCCCCGCCAGCGGCGCTGCTGCTCCTGCACGGCGGGGAAGCAGCCCCTCAGGGCCTGCCGCACGGCGAGCAGAGGCTGGTCCTGCGCCATCACCTGCCGGACAAGCCCAGGCCGACGGGCAGCGCCAGGCGGCCCAGGTGCGCAGCGGAGCAGGGCGCCCGGGGCGCGAGGGTTCCCGTGCGCAAGCGCCGCGTACCCCCTCCGACCCGCGGGCGGCCCCGCTTTCAGGTCGCAGCGCTGTCCCGAAACCCGGGCCTTGAGCCCGAATTCTGTCTCCTCCCCTGGGAAGCTCCGGTCGCCTTCCCCGAACCGGCGGGAGCACTGGAAGCCCGCGGCGGCCAAGCGGGAGCACCCCCCCCGGGGCACCCACGCCCGGCGCTCCCTCGCTGCCTCTCTGCGCATGCTCCAGCGCGGCCGCCGCGGCGCAAACGGAGGTCGCGACGCGCGAGGCCTTCTGGGGGCTGTAGTCCTACGGGCGGAGCTTCCTTGTGATTGGATGTTGCGGGAGCCTCCCAAGACGGCGACTTCTGATTCGTCAGCCGGTGGCGGTTTGAATTCGGCGGCGGCGGCTGCACGTCCGGTTCTGCACGGAGCTGCTGCGTTCCGTCCTTGCAGCTGCGGAGGCGGGGGTTTTCCTGGACGCGTTCGGCGACCCGCATGTACGTGCCCCGCGCCTCGTTTAAGCTTGGGCCTCCCCGGGGCAGCCTGTGCCCCCCGCTCGCCCCTTAGGGCGCCCGCCCGGCCTCTCCCGCGACCTCGGCCGCTGACCGCCCCGGGGGCGCCCCGCAGCCTCCACCCAAGCGCCATGGCTCCGGCTAGGAAGGGCGGCAGTCGGGTGGCCAAGACCAGCTCCTTGCGGAGCCGGAAGCTCGCCTCCTTTCTTCGGGACTTCGACCGGGAAGGTAGGGGGCGTAGCCGGGGTGCGGGCGAGGTGGGGTGCGGGGCCCCGGACCCCGGGCCCCGGTTCACCCGTCCGTGTGCCCTGCCCGCAGTGCAAATACGGTCCAAGCAGATCCAGTCGGACACACAGAACCTCCTCAAGGAGATGGACAACCTGTACAACATCGAGATCCTGCGGCTCCCCAAGGCGCTGCGCGAGATGAACTGGCTCGACTACTTCGGTAAGAGCTGCTCGCGTCCCCAGGCCTCGGCCCGGCGGTGATCACCGCCCCCCCCCCGCCCCCCTGCGCTGCTTATTGCACTTCCCTGCTTCACCTGTCTGCACAGGACTCTGACGTCGTCTGCCCCGCAGGTAGGCAGGCAGGCAGGCAGGCAGGCATCCCTCCCCTCTAAAGGACCCCATACTGAATTCTTGAAGCTTTGCAGCTACTCAATTCAAGCTGTTCTAGGCCCAAAACTGCTGGACTGAACAGGTGCATGTATGTGTTCCAGGAAAACGTTACTTAGGGACACACAGAAATGTGAAATTTGTGTGCATTTTATGTGTCACAAAACGCTCGCTCCTCTCACTTGCTCGCTCTCTCTCTCTTTTTTTTTTTTTTTTTTTTTGGATATTTTATCCAGTCGCTTAAAAACGGATACCTGAATAACTTGGTTCGTTAACCAGAGCTCAGATGGTTGGAGAACCCTAAGCCGTGCTTTCTGCATCTCATGGAAACCGTCATTTAAAAAAAAAAAAAAAAAAGGGCAAATCAGATTGTGAAGCGCAAGGACTCGAGTTTTTCTGGCCAGCAGAAAACTGCAGCCTGTTCTCTGGCCCCCATGTTAAATGCCCAAGGACATGCGACAGGCTCTCGTTTCTGCTCTGGGGTACCCTTACTTTTCCTCATTTCTTTATTATTAGCTATTATGTAGGTTCCGTCCTGCATAGAAATGCACGTTGTGTTCAAATTGTGGATACTTAATGACCCTTTTGGTTTTTTTTTGTTTTTTTTTTTAATTTATTTATTTATTTATGATAGAGAGAGAGAGAGAGAGAGGGAGGGAGGCAGAGACATAGGCAGTGGGAGAAGCAGGCTCCATGCACTGGGAGTCCGACATGGGATTCAATCCCGGGTCTCCAGGATCGCGCCCTGGGCCAAAGGCAGGCGCCAAACCGCTGTGCCACCCAGGGATCCCCTTAATGACCCTTTTGACTTGCCCTTTTATTTTGCACATTTCTACAAATACTCATGGAGCTTGCCTCTGTCCCAGTGCTAGGGGGTGAAAATGCTTTGGGAAATAACAACAGACGTTGTCCCTACCCTCAGGAGCTTACAAGTTAGTAGAAGAGGATCGTTTTAAAAATGCACACTTGGGCAGCCCGGGTGGCTCAGTGGTTTAGCACCACCTTCAGCCCAGGGCCTGATCCTTGGAGACCTGGGATTGAGTCCCGCATCAGGCTCCCTGCATGGAGCCTGCTTCTCCCTCTCCCTGTGTCTCTGCCTCTCTCTCTTTCTTTGTGTCTCTCATGAATAAATAAATAAAATCTTTTTAAAAAATAAAAATGCACACATGATTATATAGCTAAAATTACAAGTATCAGAAAAAGGGTAGAGTAGTAGTTGGTAGGTCCATTTATATAGTGCTTCCCGTGCTAGGCGGGCAGGCATTGTATTGAATGTACTACGTAAGTTAACTAATTTTATCTTCATAGCAAAAGTGTTCATTGTTAATATTGCTCCTATTTTATAAATGACAAAATTAAGGCACAGAGAGGTTGTTTACTTTGCTCAATGTCTCATAGGCTAGTTAGTAGCAAAGTATACTTATTTAAATCCAGGCATTCTGGTTCAAAGCATGACTTTCTAACAGTTCTACAGGACTCTATGAGAGTTTCTAGAAGAAGGATTAACCTAACTTTACATCTAAATCTTGTGCAGACCTCTTTGTTCAGCACACATTGGCTCTACACCTACCCCATGCCATATTTTCGCCCGAAATTGTTTTCTAGGAATTCAGGTGAACATTTACACATCTTTGAGTAGTTGTTGGGTATGATGAGGCTGAGCATCTAACTCAGCACTTCGCAGGGATCTGTTGTGATAGAACAGTAAAGAGCTTTGGATTGGAACTGAGTTTTGAAAGACGAATTAGAAACTTGTTGGGCGCAGAGGAGCATTTCCGATAGAGGAAATGATACGTATGTGCCAAGGCACGGAGTCATGAGAGACAGCGGCACATTTGGGAAATAAGGACTTCCAGTGTGGTGGGATCTAGAATATACGTAATGGGGTCAGTCAGGTATGGAGAAAAATTAAACGAGGTTGTAAAGATCCTTGAATGTTGAAGCCAGGGTTTAATCTGACCCATTTTTAGGCAGATAATGGGATATATCAGGGAGGATGGTTTATCATTAAGATCTGCTAGTAACTAAATAAAATGTTCTTTTTAAAGCCCTTGGAGGAAACAAACAGGCGCTGGAAGAGGCAGCAACAGTAAGTGACCTGTCCTATTTTGGAACTGTGCTTAGTTTTTAAGTTTAATCTTGTCACAAAATCCAACCAGGGGGTGCTTACTACGGAGGAGGTTTTGTAGGGGACGTATCCTGTTTATGCCAACTGGAAAATTACGATTGTCAAATGCTGAGTCTATGAAGCCCAAATACCGTCAAGTTCTACAGAGGGAGGCCATTCTGTTTTGGGCAGGTTCTTTGCAACTCTCTGCCCTGACCTCTCAGGCAAAGCAGAAGCCTCAAGCCCAAGTCCCTCTAAGCCCCTGGGTCATTACCTAATGGCCTGGGCTGCTAAGTGCCAAAGAGACTTATTTTTATTTTATTTTACTTTTTTTTTAAGAAATTTTATTTGAGAGAGAGGGAAAGGGAAAGAGGGGCAGAGGGAGAAAAAAAACTCAAGCAGACTCTGCACTGAGCACAGAACCCAACATGGGGCTCAACTTCACAACCCTAAGATCACAACCCAAGACATATTCAAGAGTTGGACACTCAACCGACTGTGCCACCCAGGTGTCCCGAGACTGTTGTTTTATCATGTCCTACTGTAGAAGCTACACTCTTACTTGGGTTTCTCAGGTTTCCTCATCCCCTCTCACCTCCTCTATCCTAGCATCAGGATCAGGAAGAGAGTAAGATGAGGAAGCAAAATAAACAGGTTAGATCTTAGATCTGTAGTGTCCAGTGCAATAGCTACCAGCCACAAGTAGCTATTTTAATCAATTAAAATTAATAAAATTAAAACTTCAGTCCCTCAGAGACACTAGCCACTTTTCAGATGTTCGGTAGCCACACATGACTAGAGACTACGTATTGGTAGCTCAGAAATAGAGCATTTCTATTGTTGCAGAAAGTCCTGTTTTACAGTGACAAGAACTGGTCCATAAATGGGTCTTCATGGAGACCTTAGGCATTGTACATAAAATTGTACATAAGCAATGTGTGTATAGATATGCATTTGTCATTTTTCTGGGGAGAATGTTTATTATAACCTTCATCAGGTTTACAAAGTGAACCCAAAAGTCTACATCCTACTACACATTATTAGAATTACTTGGAATCCTAGGTTTTGAAGGGATCTGACTGCAAAGGGTACATAGTAGCATCGAATAGCAGGTTCACAGCAGCCTCAGAAGTTAAAGATATTTCAGAGCCAGTTGTTTAGTCAGGAAAAAACTAATTAGAGAGTTTGGGGGTGAATATTGTAGAAGAAAGGGGATAGCTGAAAAATAAAATCAGGAGCTAGTAAAACATTCTTAGTTCTGGCTTTCTCTCTTTCTAATATGTTCTTGCCTCCACACACCCAGATGTAATGTTTCAAAAGACTTAACCTCTGAGATGAATTATACTCATTAGCTAATGCATCACCCTCTTGTTAATTAATCAGACTCTAGAGCTAAAGTCAGGGAACTTCTAGTGTAATATGAAATAGCCAGCGTCTTCACACCAAGTCAAGAGAATTGTAGCCTTAGTTAATATGACTTAAAACTCAGGGAAGGAATGATACTTTGGTACAGAAGTTCATAATAATTAGGTATGTGGGCATCTCCCAAGTTTTCACTTCTAGGAAACCTCACAGGGCTCCAATATGGTCATACTCATGGCTATGATTCTTTACAGTGAAAGGATCTAAAGCAAAATCAACAAAGGGAAGAGACACGTGCGCCAAAGTCCAGAGGAAACCAGGCACAAGCTCCCAAGAGTCCTCTCCTAATGGAGTCACATAGGACACCATAATTCATCACTTGTAAAATGTCTACCAGAAAACATTTTTGAGACTCAATGCCTAGGATTTTTACTGGGGGCTGGTCGCATCGGCATCTTCTGTACCTAGCATGTCCCAAAATTTCAGACTTCCAGGAAGAGAGCCAGTATGCGGCATAAGCCATGTTGTTTATTCAAAGCTTAGGATCAGAGAACCATTCTATCCAGGGAATGGTGGGAACCCTGAAATCCAGGTTCTTATACAAGCCACCAGCCAGCCATGCAAACAGGCCTTTCAGGTCTTAGGCCTGTTAACTCTTCTGCTTAAAGGTGCTCGGTGGCCTGCCACCACAGAGACCTTCATAACATGCCAGATGTTTCTAGAGATGGCAGGTATTTGGCCACTATCTATTCCATCAACCATTTCAGACGTCACTAATCTACAGTGCTATTTCTTGCTAAGATTGGACAGCCTCAGAATGCTCCTCAGCACTCCACGGAGTCCCTACCAATCTGGAGATGTAACCTGCCATCCCTAGTCCGTCACAGCTCTTCTGATCCTTCCACACGCCGTGCAAGGAAACCCATAGAATCATACCTGCTCGTGGCTATTCTCATTCCCATAGGTAGTCAACCACTGGGAACACATTTAATTAGAATGACAGTGATTAGAAGCCTTCTTGAAGGGCCCGTGAGTGCAACAAAAAACCGTGTGGATGCTCCAGACTTAAAAAAAAAGAGAGAGAGAGAGAGAGAGGAGAAAGAGAAAAGTCAAATACAGCACCAAGTATAGAGAATGTGAGTCATTAGGAACTTGTATTGTTTGCCAGTGGGATGTAATCAAGTGCAACCGCTTTGGAAAATGTTTCGGCATAATATCAAGGCTGAACATTTGTGTAGCTACAACCATCCCGTGCCCCCACCCCTGGTATACAGCCAAGAAAGAAGTTGGACACATGCATCAGACACATTATGAGATGGATCAGAGTAGTGGTGTTGGTTAATAGCAAAAAGACTGATGACAGGAGATTGGACAAACTCACTGTGATAGAGTCCCACAGTGCGATGTTACGTGGCAGGGAAAACAGATGAATTACAACAAACAGTGGTCAGAAGTGAAACCAAGTAAAATATTATGTAAGCACATATATATTTATAAAAAAACAAAAACAAAAAACCACGCTTTTAAGCAAATGAAATGATGGTGGCACCTCTGGGGGAAAACGAGAAAATAGACCAGGGAAGAATGTAGAGTTAGAAGCAAGTTATCAGCAACATTTTAGCTCTTGGGCTGTATTTATGAGAGTTCACTCTATCGTGTTATAAGTAATACGTTACGATCTTTGGTCCATAACAAGTAATGTGTTTTTAAGTTAATCATGTTGAGTCTTAAAATATTCCCCATATTTGATGAAATATGCCTGGTGTTTTCTGGCTGTATTCGTCACAGGCTGACCTGGATATCACAGAAATAAACAAACTAACAGCAGAAGCTATTCAGACACCCTTGAAATCTGCCAAAAGTGAGTACTTGTTGAAACCCCTCGTTGAACTGAGAATGGAGGCCAGGCGGTTGGCTGGTTGCTCACAGAGGCCTCGGTCGTGGAGCCTCTTCCTCAGATGCCTGGTCCTCAGGCTTATGAATCCAATCATGTGATTCTGGCCGCTGCACCGAGTTAATAGTTTGCAGGACTAATAGTGAGCAAACTACTGGCCCATGTGGAGCGAGAGTGAGAGTGGCTTGTGGTTGTACATGTTTAGCAATGAGGCACTAACATATCACTCGACGGCTGCGATGCTGAGAAAGTTTTTTCTAACCTACATAAATAACAATATTTTGCTGTAATAAATAATACTTCTATGACATGTGTCCAGTACTGTCCAAAGGCCTTTCCGTCATTCATTCAACCGGCACAATCCTAGGGTTTGGGGAAACAGGAACGAAAGTAACAGACCCTGTTCTTGTGGAGAACATCCAGGTCTCATCTTACCCCTGTGAGGTGACTACTCCCCTTTATGGATGACGTGCTGAGGGAGCAAAGCCAGGGCCCCGTGACCTGGGCAGTGCTGGGACCGGCCTCATGCTCAAGCCTGGCTGAGTCCAGCGTCTGCATTCTTACCAGAATGCTGGGCAGCATGTGGGTTTTCTTGACCAGCCACCTTATTTATATTCAAAATCTGTTTCTTTTCTTTTTTTTTTTTTTAAGAAGATCTTATTTAGCAGAGAGCATAAGCAGGGGGAGCAGCAGGCAGAGGGAGGGGGAGAAAAGCAGACTTCCCTCTGAGCAGGGAGCCCAATGTGAGGCTGGATACCAGAGCCCTGGGATCATGACCTGAGCCAGAGGCAGACGCTTAACCAACTGAGCCACCCAGGCACCCCTCAAAGTCTGTTTCTTGATTACAGCCTAAGATTGCATAAGTTTTATTTCCTCTAGAAACAGGACTGCATGAAAATGTATTCCTATGAGCATATCAGTTTGTTAAAACTGTTTTCTTATAGCACGAAAGATAATAAAAGTGGATGAAATGATAGTGGAAGAAGAAGAAGAAAATAAGAAGAATCTTCGAACTTCCAGAGTAAGTAGGCACTCGGGTCTGGGGCTGAGAGCCTACGAGAGACAGGGAAATAACAAAAATACAGAACATCCCGTTGCCCCATCCCCACCTGCCAGGGTTCACAGTGTAGCAGAGAAGAATGCACTTAAATGGCTCATAACAGAAGCGACCATAGAAGTGTGTATGGAACACAGAAGAGGAAGCTGTCACATTTTACCTCCCCAGTTAGTATACACCCAGGCCTTTAAAAGTGAGGGAGATTTCACTAGCTGTGAAGAAAGAGAAGGGAAGCCCGGGAGGAGATGAGAAAGTCCCTTCAAGTTCCATTTAAGGAACAGGAAGCAGTTTGGGCTGACAGGGATGTAGGCTGTAGGTGATCTGCGTACAGCAGGGCCGGACAGTGAAGGGCCTTGTGTGCCGAGCTCGGGAGTTCCCATCTCAGCAGGTTGGTTATGGTAAGTGACTCTGCCAGATTGGTATTTCAGAACGATATTCGGGACAAATGGGGGAAGAGAAAAAACGGAGACAAGGAAACCAGTTGGGAGGCTATTCTAAATCTTAAAACTGAGCCGGTGACCCTATATAGAGACCAGGGATGGTTCTGACCAAGCAAGACTGGTGGAGGCAGGGAGGAAGCAGGGATGACTTGAAGAGCCTCTATCTTGGGCAGCGGAAGGTGGCACAGAGTGGGAAGAGCAGGGCTGGGTTCGGGTAAAGGGGAGCACCCGGTTGTGCCGGTGGTTTGATGCATCAGGTGTTCCATTCTCTTCTGAAAATTCAGCCTGGAGCTCAGGGAGGAGTGGGAGATGGAGGGGCATGCTGACTCCCAGTGTGGGTGTCGACGAGGTTGTGCCAGGAGGGCACGGAGGGGGCGGCTGAGCACGGGTACTGGAGGGACGCTAGAAAGAGGAGCTCAGGAGGCAGCCAGCGCCGAAGGGAGGATGGGGTCGGGGAGATTGGGCACCCGGGACGGCCCCGGTGACCTTCACAGCAGCATTCCATCAGGGAGTGGGGGGCCAGCCAGGCTGCAGTGAGTGTAAAGGAGATTTACCTTTAATATTGGCCAGAACCCTCTACTTTGAAAATCCAGACAGTAGAAGTCCTGAGTTGATCAGTCGTCTTCCGTGTTACTTAAGCCACTTCCCTCGGGACATCGAGCTCCTGTTCAGCCTCCGTTTCCTTTTCTAGAGCTGATCCCCCCCCTTCCCCGCCCCTCCTTTTCTTACCCTTTTCTTACCCTCCCTCACTTTCCCCCTTTTTGGGGGCTTTTAATAACCACAGTGTCATTCGATTGTGAATCCAGGTCAAAAGGTGTCCTCCGTCCAAGAAGAGAGCCCCATCCGTACAAGGAAAAGGCAGAAGGAAAAGGTGATGGGTTTTCCAAACCCCGGTGTGCGTTTTGGTTTTACTGGTGAGCCCCCGTCCGTCGTGGCAGAAATGGGGGAAGGGCTCCCGTCCGTGGCTTGTGCTCAGGGAGAGCTCAGGTCTCCAAGCTGGAGGCGCCTGGAGAAAGGATCTGACCCAGCACGCTCTCCGGTTCTGCCCACGTTCTCTCTTCTCCCCCTCGTTTTTGTGTTAACGCTGTCGGGGAGCACAAGGCCCGGGAACCTGTAATAAGCACTGCACGTTATGTTCACGTGCCTGACAGTCCCCGTGCAGAGCTCCCCCATGGCCGGTCACAACGTGGCTGTCACCGCCCTTCTTGACATGTTCCCCATGGTCCTAGTAGGAATTGCCGGGGACCTGATTGTGCCGGGCCCTGCTGAACATTTGGGACGGGGCACAGGGGCCACCTCTTAAGGAGCTTAGCACATTGCACCAGGGATGTGTGTCCGTGAAGGAGACTCCCTGAGCAGTGGTAGGTGCCCGGCCAGAGGACAGGAACTCTGGCCGAGGGGCCTGCAAGGTACTGAGGGGCCAGACTCGAGGCTGACAGACAGCTTGGCTTCAGAGGTCTGGCTCCACCCTGACCGGCTTGTGATCTTGGCCACGTTGCTCCCCTCAGTGCGCTCAGGTTCCCGTAGCCATAAATGAGGCTGACAGCCAGCGTCTGGGGTTGTTGGGAGGGCTGCGCCAGGTGGTGCGTGGAGGCACTGGGTATGGTACCCACGTGGTCACTGCCCTCCGCGTGTGACCCACGCACCTCATGGCCACCCCTTACCTGCCATTACAGCACCGTCACCCCAGCTGTGAGCCGGCTGGAGTTGTCTCTGGTGAAACCAACTCCAGGCCTGACCCCCAGGTTTGACTCAAGGTGAGTAATGGGGGAGGGCAGCGCCTGCATCTGGGTGGGAGCCCCCAGGAAAACACTTGACCCCTCAGCCTGGCATGCCCTCTCGGAAGAGGGTAACTGTCCGGGCTTCTGAGTGTCTGCCTCTCCCCTGAGAGCCGGTTCACCTGCTTTCAGCGTCCAAATGAGTATTTGATGACAGGAGAACACGCTGCCTCTGAGGACTAGGGGGCCGCTAGTGACTCTTGCTCGGCCTTTTCTGTTTCTGACCAACAAAAGTGTTCTTTGGGCAGGTGCTCTCCCGCACCCTCGATTAGAGTGAGAGGGCATCCCATCACACCAGGGAGACCAAGGTGACCCAGGCGGGAAGCTAATCTCTTCCATGGGGCCGCTCAGCTGGTCAGGAGACGCTCCGTAGCCATTAAAGAAGTGGATCCGTATGTGCTGGAGGAACAGCGTCGTGATGACGGGCGTCTCCAAGCATGTTGCACAACGGGGTGCCCTGGATGAGCCCATTTGTGTTTATATTCAGAGGACGTTTCTGGAAGGCATGAGGAGTTGAAAGTGGGGCTCTCTGGGGCGAGGAGAGGGAGGAAGACTTCTTTGAATTCCCGCTCCTGAACTGCTTTTTCACATGCACGTACAGCAGAGGGCATTTAGAGGAAAACAGAATTTCAACTGTCTTGAGGAAGTTTGTTTAGGAATTAGTATAATGCTAGAATCTCCGAATCCTCCTCTTCTGACCCTGGAAAATTCCTCCTGCTGGAAGCACTTAGCCACTCTTGGAAGTGCATTAACCGTAGTTTATTTCTGGCTTTGTGGGTGGCTGGATGGCTGGTGTCCACGCAGAGCCTGGGACCTAAGCTTTCCGTGGACAAGAACTGACTCTGGCTAGATGGAGGTTTGATCATTACAAGCTCCCTTCTCCAGCTGTGTGTAGTCATTACTGTTTAAAAAGACTTTTTGCCCTAAATTTAGAACTCGCCTTCTTAGAAATGCAGGGTTTGAAAACTACAGCTTGAGGCCAGATGGGGGTTGAAAGGGCTCACGGCGCCTCGTGTCACTTTCTCTGCCAAGCCATCTTGACGGAGATCTCCCCACTTCACAGGGTCTTCAAGACCCCGGGCCTGCGTACCCCAGCAGCCAGAGAGCGGATCTACAACATCTCCGTGAACGGCAGCCCTCTTGCCGACAGCAGAGAGATTTTCCTCACGGTGCCGGTGGGCAGTGGCGAGGTGAGCGTCTCACAGGGAGGCCAGGCTGGAATCCGTGCCCGGCTCCGTGTTCCGTTTGTTCATCAGCTGACATTTGCCCACCTGCCAGGTGGTAGGCCCAAGGTGTAGAGGACATGATTCCTGCCCTCGAGAAGCCTTCAGTAGTTGAGATAGGTGCCCAGTGCCCTCTAGTGTCATGGGACGTGTGCAGTTGGGGGAGATCCTGCAGGGAGTGCAGAGGAAGGCAGCATCCGGGTATGCGCCCTAGAAAGGGGAACATGAGCTGGGTCTCCCGCACTGGACGACTCTGAGGGGTTCTGAAGCGAGCTGAGCCCGCTTGCCCTGGGCTGAGTAGAGCAGAGCCTCAGCTCCTGGGAGGCAGGGAAGGTGAATCTGCAGGGCGTCCTTGCCCTTATTCCCCAGGTGAGCCAACCATGGTCCAGGGTCAAACGCCAAGGTCATCAGCTCCTCGGGGGCAAACTCCTCTCCTAATGGCCTTACCTCTCCCCCTTCCCGCTCCCCTTGCCCAAAGTGCAGGATATCGGGGGCCCCCTGGGGCACAGTAGGGCACGGGTACAGGGTCCTGCCCCAAGGGACGTGGCCACTGAACCCACTCTGCTCTCCACACAGAGCATGCGATTACTGGCCAGCGACTTGCAGAGGATGGACATCGCACAGCTGGACCCAGAGGCCCTGGGAAACATTAAGAAACTCTCCGTGAGTCTTGTAACCGTCCGCACGCAGGCTGCCTCTGGCAGCTGGCTTAGTTTAGCTGAACGTAGGATTGTCTGCTCCGTCTGGCCCGCATACTCAACGTGAGATGAGAGATGACCTCCACGGGGCCCGGGGTTCCAGCTCCGTTCTCCCTCCACACTGGCTTGCGTGTGGCCTCGGGCAGCCCCGCTCCCAACTCCGACTCCGCTGCTCTAATGCTCAGCATTGACCATCTAGCTTCTTGTCTCCCCTTAAAGTCTCAGGAGGGAAATTAAGTTGGTTCAGCTTTGGTCACACGGGCCTCCAGGTCCAGTCAGCACAATCCCCGGGGGTAGATGGGCGCTCTCGGCCCAAACACGGCTGCCCCAGGTGCCGCCTTCCTGGGTGCCTGTGAGGGGGACATCCAGGGAAGGGGCGAGGGCAGAGCTGCCTTCCCAGCCAGGTCCCCCCAGGGGACCTCCGTCCTCTGGGGGAGATCCACTGAGACCTGGCCACCCCAGCCCGAGGTGACAGGCAGGCAGGGCCGCTGCCCTGCTCTCCACTGACCCACCTCCTTCCCTCCGTAGAGCCGCCTCGCCCAGATCTGCAGCAGCATACGGACTCACAAATGAGGCTGCTGTTCCAAGAAGCCCCACTGGACAGGACGGACCTCCAGCGGGCACGTCGGGGACCCTGACGCCACCTCTTCCCTTCAGGCTTATTGTTTGTTTGAGTGTGCAGCTCCAGAGCAGGGAGCGGTGTTCCTCAGGGAGAACCAGAGAAGCGGAGACACTGCTCCCCCATCGGTTAATACAGCTTAGCTCCTCACGCCTCCCCGCCCGCCTGCCACCTGCCGCCTCCTGCCTCTGTGCAGTCGAGACTTCCTGTCCTTCCTGTAGGATTCTCCTTCCTGCTCTCAGGGCTGCCACTCCTGCCTCCCAAAACCCATGTCCTCTCTGCCTTGCCTCCTTCCATGGAGGTGGCCTGCAGGAACCTCCTGCTCCCCCTTACCCAGCACCCTCCGTGCCCGGCATTTCTGTGTTGCTTGAGGCCGGGAATTTTAGGCTCAGAGAAGTGAGGGCCGGGGCTATGGGAGGAAGATCGGAGGCTGGGAGGAGCCGTACAGCAGAGCAAGGCCTGTCCAGCAGGGACACAGCAGGCGCATCGGCCCGGCCCCGCTTCCTCCCGAGGCGGACCCAAGTGGCCCTTCAGGATCTCCTGCCCGCCCTGCCCAGTAGTTTTTTCCAAGCTGACCATGGAATAGTGGTTTGTACTTCTCCCTTGACCGAAGACCAAAAATTAGTTTGGAGGCAGCTTCCTCGTCTGGCACCTCTACCTCTCTACTCGGTAGGGATTTGGATAAGAGAATTCTAGGGCTTAGCGTAGTCGAGGGCTTCGTGGGACCAGCTGCAGAGGGGTGGTCTCTGAGCTCTCCGTGCCAGGTCCACAGACTGCAGAGAGCACTTCCTATCATGGGGTTCGTTGGGGGCAGGTGTGAACTGCCTGGTGGCCTCACTCCACGTGTCTGGCCTGTGCTCCGGGCATCGGCTCGGTGTTCAGAGCCCGTACCCCGCCCCAACGAGTCCTGCAGTGTGGTCCAAAACTGCGGGCCCTGGGGCCCCGTGTCCTCTACGGCCCTGCGTCACACTCGGCATCACCCAGCCAGGTGACCCGCCTGGCAGTCCAGTCCCGTTGCAGCCATATCCCCTTCAACTTGTTTTATTCTCCCTTTCCTGATACTTCGGTGTGTATCGTGTTCCCAAGCATCTCTTATTAAACTCTTGTAATTAGGGCTATTGAAAGGTACCTGTTTTCAATAAATTGTGGGTTGGTTTGTTTTTAATCCATATTCAGCCTGCCTGTCGTCTCCGAGCGGTGCTCCCTAGACTAGAGGCTGTCTGGGGGCCGAAGCTGTTGGGGGGTGGGGGTGGCTCTGAGCGGCTGTTTTTCTCAGGAGACACGGAAACCTCTCCTTTAGGCAGAATCTGATACCTGGAAAGGGGGTCCTTTCCCTAACGTGCAGGGCATAGGTAACCCACCCCCAGTAGGCTTCCCCCAACGCCTGTTTGTGAGCAAGAAGTCCATACTGGGGAGGACAAAACCTCGGCCATCTACCGTTCACCCCTGAGCGCAGGCTTGTTGGCGGGAACAGCGGGGGCACAGGGAACGCAGCCACCACACTTCTCCAGGCCCAGAGTTTCAGGGCCCTGGCAGGTGTGCCTTCCTGAACTCGTTCTGCACTGAAAACGATCCTGCTTGGACCTGACGGCAGAAGAGAAGAATGGGCCGTCATCGAGCCCGGCCACCTGGCTCTGACCGCGATGGGCAGGGACCCTGTGGTCAGCGGCAGCATTTGGAATAAAGGTTCCTCCTTTCAAGCAATTCAGTCACCAAACCCGAGGCATCTAGCTATTCCTTCACCTGGTGCAGTGTCCAGAGGAGCCGGGCACCAAGGACACCCTTAGGACCCAACACACTCGGCCCAGAGCTGTCCTCACCCTATTTCGTTCCACTTGCACCACCGGCTGAGTGAACGCAGGGGTAGGAAACGTGCGGCGCGCAGCAGGTGCCTAACATGCCAGTCATGTGAAGAAGACGGGGCCGTCCTTCATCCGGCATCAGGGGCGGGCTGAGGGTAATGAGCTCCCCATCCCAGGGTTTTAAAGCACAGCTTGGGATTTTACAAAGGAAATTTAAATCCTACTGCCAGCCCACAAACCAAACAGACCGACTTTCACTGGATTTTAGTTTTGGTTTTTTTTGTTGTTGTTGTTGTTCTTCCAGCTTCGTTCCTAACAATTTAAAAATTGTGAGATTTCATAAAAATGATTGCTAGCTTCAAAAAAAAAAAAAGATTTGGCAACACCGCCAGCTGGAGCTGAGAGCAGCTTTCCTTAGAGCATCCTCTCCCCATTCAAAGCAACCCCTGCTAGATCACTCCCCTCTGTTCCGTGCCTCCCCCTGGTCGGCAGTTTACCTTGTACCCGCTGCTGTGGGGTTGAAGCGAATAAAGGCACAGCTGCGCTGGCTCGAGGGGAGCATGGGCCCCAAGTCCCCCCTTCCCCAGGGTACCGGAGGCAGCGCCAAGAGGACCCAGAGTTCCAGTAAACACTAGGTTCCTTCTTGCCCTGCAGGCTTCCTGCTATTTCCAGAAGCCCTCCTTGGTGATTCCTGTTGGAAGAACAAATGTATGGCCTTTTGGAGAGTTAGGTCCCACTACTCCTACGAAGAGCTACTTCTTGGGATGTGCGTGGTAGGACCTCACCCAAGCGTCGCTCATTCACGTGTCGCCCGTTCACCGCGTCAGACACGCTTTGTCGCTCAAAGGAACCACGGTGCCCACTCCCACCGAGGGGTGTGCGTGCAACAGAAGACCGTGTGTCCACGTCCACATGGGCACCAGCTCTGGGACGCGTTTTCCCGACTTCACACGCTGCCAGCTGTTGACCCACACCCAAGACGCAGCATGACATGTGCTGAAGATTTTACTAGCAGGCGCCTCCCGAGGCCTCAAATGGGAGGCGCTGGAGACGCTAGGAGACCGTTTGCTCAGAACTGGGGCCCACGCGGGGCTCTGCACTCCACGGGAGCCTGGAATCCAGTCTGCTCTGGCTCGGGTGCCTCCTGCCTTCACAGGATGAGGCCTTTCCCCAGGCCCCCCTGCCCCGCCAAGGCACCTCCCTCGGGTTAAATGAGCCCCCCCCCCTTCACTTGCCTTCCACGCTCTGCCATCGTCTTTCCCTTCGATGACATCAGGGTCTATGTAGTTGGCATCTTCCGATGATGCCTCAGATGATGCATATGGTGGAGAACATAGCACAACCCTTGGCACTGAGATACTGGGAAGAGCCCAGCTCCCCGTCTGCAGATTTTCGGGGCCATGTGTCACCATGTGCCATCAGGGTGGAGGCCGAGGGCACCCTCCATGGATACACCCCTGCAAATCCTGTCTCTCAATATTTCACCGTGCCCCAGCCGACTGTTGGGGATGCGTGCGGTGGGCAAGGGAGGAGAAGGGCCCGGAGACAACATATCTGGGAGGGGGTGTAAGGTGCTTGCGGTGGGGAAACCTCCTTTCGGTTTCCTAGTTCTCTTGAACCTCCTCAAGCAGCCTTAGTGAAAGCACATTCCTTGGAGTCAGACGTGAGAACCATAATCTGCCCACAAGGTGCTGGTAGGCACCACGAGGTCATCTATGAACCCAACATTTCTGACTCTTCTCTGCTGCCCCAAGGCCCCAGGGGGCCCGGCTACTAAAATGGGCTGGGAGGCACCCTGGGGAGATTAAAGCCAGGGTTTGTTTGTTTGTTCGTTTGTTTCAAAATGCTGGCAGAAGGGTGAGTCTAGATGGCCAAGGGTAGGTACCAAGAGGTTTAAAGAGAAGGCGCCGTACAGTGAGGAGGCCTTGAGTCCCGAGCCGTGTGAAGGGGGAGGTGGGAGGACCCGAGTCCAGAATTCAGCTGTGGTTTTGTAAGGGCAGTGAAGGCGCTACATGGTCCCCCTGCGTCCCCCCCCCCCCCCCGGGCCCTCCTGCATCTCTCCAGGGACGAGGTTAGGTGGAAGGTCACTGGACTCCCAGGACACCTAGCATTTATCCCTACTGCTCTGCCTTTTGTGCTCTTGACTTAACACTCCCCCATCAGGCAGTGAGGTCCTAACTTCCTAGTGTCTGCCCCCCACCCCGTGGGAGCTGGGTTCACTGAGTGACCCAATAGCTGGTCACGCCGCGTCAGCAGCCTTGCTGCCCAGACATGAGCATTTCGATCCCCAAGCACATGCGCATGTCGACCCGTTGCCTTGGCCTTGCTAGCAGTGACATTTAGTGAGCACTTACAGTGTGCGGGGAGTGTGAAGTGTCGGAGGGGGTCCCCCCATTCTTCAGCTCCATGCCTCTACTGCAGGCAGACGTCATGGGTGGAGCAACACTGCTGACGCCCCCACCTCCTCCCTCCCCACTGCCCCGGGGAGAAGAAGCCACTTAACTAAATGGAGTAAGCTAAGCTGCTTGAGCTGGCGCCACCTGGCCTGTCCCCCAGATCGGCCTGTTCACAAGCAGGGTGTACGCTGGTCTCCCCACCCTGCAGGAAGTTGGGGAGAGGGGCAAAGCTGCCCGTGCAGAGGAGGCTTGCAGCTTCCTGGCTCAGCCTGGGACTGGGACTGGGTGGGTCTAATTCGGGGAAAGGCACCTTGTCCCGGTACAGCACGACTCCGTCACCGAAGATGTACATTTTATACATTTGAACATCTCCGAAATTGGGACGCAGCTTCCAAGCAGATGGCACGACACAGTCGAATTGGCTCTGATGTTTTCCTAGTGGTACATCTCACACTCGGTGACGGCATCTTAGATTCGAAGAAACATGGTAAAGCAACAGCCCGCAGTCAGCCTTATCAAGGAGCTGCTGCCTTGGGCTCTGTCTGCCCCCGCAAGTGGCGCTCAACTGGTTCTGAGCACAGGAACGGAGGAAAGGGGGCTTATTTCCCACCACCCCACCATCCCAGCACCCCAGCACCCCAGCCCGAAGCACTTCCCGCGGCCTGACGAGGCAAGAAAATAAGACACCTTCTCCAAGCCGGGACACGCACAGCCCGGTCCAGGGAGCGCAGAGGCTCTAGCAAGCCGGAAAAGGCAAGGGCTCACGTGGTACGTATGCGTGTGTGCACACGTGCGAGCACTCAGCCCGCATCCCCACTTGGCTCTGATCACTGTCTCATCCCACCTTCCTCCCTTGTGGCCCACCCCAAAAGATTCCCCAACCCCCCTCCTCCATCCTCTCACCCGGCTCTGTCCCCCACAATTAAGGCCACTACTAGGGGTTGAATTATGTCCCCTCAAAATCCGTATGTGGAAGTCCTAACCCCGGGACCACAGAAAGGGACTATTCAGGGACAGGTCTTTACATGGGGTCATCAGGTTAGAGTGGGGTCACTAGGATGGGCCAGGCTAGGACCCCTGGTGCGCCTCTGAAATGGGAAATCTGGACGTGGAAGGCGGGATGCAGACGCAGGGAGAAGCAGAGAGGCCTGGGACCGGTCCTCCCGAGTCCTCGGGAAGAGCCCACCCTGCCGACACCTTGATGTGGGCCTTCCAGCCCTGCACCCCAATCCCGGGCCTGCTGGACGACCAGCTCTGTCATGCAGGCTGCGGCCTGGGAACGAGCACCGCCCTCCCACACCTGCTGCTCACGTGGCTTCTCCACGCTGCACATCACACTCACTGCTCCTCCCCTCCATGGCTCACTGCTCCCCGCGGGCCCCGGCTGTCTCCCCAGAGCTCCCTCGGCTCCCCCTTGCTAGGCCCAATTTGCCCAGGCTTTGCCCCCTGCCCCCACCCCCAGGAACCATGGCCCTCAAAGCTCCACCTCTAGCCTGCGTCTGTGCCAAGCTCCAGACCCAGCACCCAGCCACCTCCTAGGCACCCCCACCTGCACAACCCACAAGACCCCAAACACATCCAAACCAAGCGTGTCATTTGCCGCCTCGCGCCCCCGACGCCTCCCCACCTGCTCCCTTCCCCATGTACCGTGCATCTCAGAAAAGGGCCCCCCACCCGGGTATTGCCGGGGGAAGCCTTCCTGGCTTTACTACTCCGAGACCAGGTGACATCCTTCTCCACACTCCCAGGCCACCCTCCCTAGACTGAGAGACCTTTCATGGCAAGGGCCATTCAATTCGTCTCTGCACAGAGGGATCTCAGCCCTACACTCTGGCGACACTGCAGGGCGGGTCGGGGATGGTAGAAACCCTCCCACATAAGCTCTTAAAGGTTAAGCAACTGTCACTGAAAGAGGTACCTTATCACAGACAAGTTTTTATTACTTTGTCCTGCATATAGAACCCACGAAATATAAAAACATCTCCGGAGTTAAAGGAAACACCCCTCCCCGCCACGCTGCCACCAGCCCCTTCCCTCCCTGGACGGGCTCGGATGGGGGAGCTGGAGGGTTGCAGACCACGTCCCTCTGTTCAGTGAACAAGTTCCATATAAAAATAGATCTGTAGAGGGCTCCCAGGGAGCCATCAGCCTGCGTCTGCAGGGCAGAGGTCTGGGACCCCTCAGGATTGTGGGACCTCACTCCTCAGGGGAGGGGAGGTCTACCCTGGACACCGAAGTCCTACCAACACAGCCAGGGGGCCCCTCCGCAGCACAGCCAGGGGAGGATGGGGAGGGGCCCTGGACCTTTAGAGCATGACTGCTACAGCTGGAGATGGGGATGAGGCCCCCTCCACCCAAGGCGGGGCCCCTGGTCCTCTCGCCAGGTCCTTTCCAAGCTTGTGGGGGGAGGGGGCAAGCCCAGAGGGGAGCTGGCAAAGGGACCGGACCCTCCAGCCCCATCAAAGGTGGAAGCATTATCTCAAGCTCCCCCTCCCCACCCCATTCCCTCAACGTCACTGGCTAGGGCAGGTGCTTGGAGGGAGGGTGCAGAGGGAGGGGCCCCAAGGAGAGAAGAGCTGCTGCTGGCAGGGTGAGGCCAAAGGCACTGCTGTGAGGCACTGTCCCCCACCGTGGGTGCTCCCCAAAAATCTGCTGCATCTTCCTGCCCCCAGGCTCCTTCTCATGCTAGTCCCTCTGCCTGGAGGCCTCCTGTCCTAGGCGCTGCGTCTCTCGGCCTGCACAAAACTCCACCCCGCCCTCAGGAGGGACACCCCCACCCCACCTCCAAAGCCTCCTTCAACTTCTGCATCAGCCTCTCAGCCGAGAAGCCTTTCCAGACACAGGTGCATGTATGCGAATCACAAGGGTGTCCATTTGCCCACCGACCCAGAGGTCTCCCGTGGGGCCCGGGGCACTTCTGGAAGGTGCCCTCGCCCCACCCCTGTACTTCTCAGTGCCTGAGCTTCTCCGCCCACCTAGGCTGAGCCCTCCACGGGCCAGCTTGATGATCTGTTCACCCCCTACTTCTCCCCCTGTGGCTTCTCCTTCCCACCCATCCCACCCCCACCCACACGCAGCCAAGTCCAGGGTCGGCATAGGTCAGGGTCGGCATAGGTCCAACCCAGCCCCTGGAATCCCAGCCAGATCCAGCTGCCTTCCTGCCGTCCTATGAGAGCCCTGGCTTCATGATCTCCACCACCTTGGGGAAGCCCTTCTGGGTCAGGAACTCTGGGGTTAGCCCAGGGTGGCCACTCCTGCCAGAGTCCCCCAGAAGCCAGAGGGAGAGGGTGCTGCACAGGAGGCTGAGTGGTGCCCAGGAGACAGCTTGCAAGAGGCGGCCACCTCAGAGTACCCCTGGGCTACCTCAGGGAAGGGAGTTGGCATCACAAGGTAGGACCAAGGACTCTCTCGCTCTCCAGAGCCAGGCCCAGGCCCGGACTGGGAGTCGGGGGGCATGGGTTCTAACCCCAGCCCCAGCCCTGACTCTTTGACCACCCTGCCCCTTTCCTATCTGCACAGTGTGGCTTGGAGCCTGTCAGAGAGAGAAGGTCCACCTCTGAGGGTCTCTTCACCATCCCCTGAGGCTGGAGAGCAAAGCTCACAGGTTCTCCGGGGAGAAAACATCTCCCCTCATGCTCCTCTCAGATGTCCCCCCTCCCCCCACCCCAACCAGTTGAATTTATAAAAGGAATGCACAGGGGAGGCCTAGCTGGGTCTCAGGGGAGCACCAGAACCTCATGATGGCCTAGCCAGGACCCTCACCCTCACCCTGAGCTGTCGGCCCAAGGGCAAGGGAAGCAGAAATCAGCTCCTGAGTCTAGGGCCTTTGGGGTCCAGCCCCTGAGCTCAGCACCACCTTCTTGGCCTGGGCCTTACCACCAGTGTGCAGACAGGGCCAAGCCCAAGCACAGGGAGCAGAGGACCTTGCCCCTCCAGGCCCTTCAGGATGGGCCACCAGGCAGCTCTGGTCCCTGCTGGGTCTCATGGGAGCATGTTAGGGACCCATGCTGCCAATAGGCTGAGAGGTCTGTGCGAAAAAGGGGCACCCCCTGGGGTGGGCCCCAGGCCCCAGTGGGTGTGGAAGACAGAAAAACACGAACCAGGTGATTTAAAGCTACGTCTTCCCTCCCCGTCCTGTCCCCCTTGGTCCCTGAGGCCCGGCATCTCCTCCTGCTAGTAGCTCAGGGGTTCTCCCCAGGGATTTAACCCCTCTGGCCAAGGTGTTCAGACTGGGGCAAATGGGAAGACTAGGCAGTGAAATGAGGGGAACGTGGTCCCGAACAAGCTCTGGGCCGCAGTGCAGGGAGAGCGTGCTCACTTCCACACCGCTGGGGCCCAGCCTGCCGGGGTCCGAGTCAGGGCAGGGGTCCTGGCTGCGAGGACGCACCGCTCACACCTGCACCCCCTGGCCTTGCAGCTGGAGCACCCGTGCCCGCAGGGCGCTGATCCCGCTGAGGAGGGCCTCTCGATGTTCCGCCGACGAGATGCCCAGGTTCAGCAGGTCCCTGAAAGAAGGGCCGCTCAGACCCAGCCGGCTGAAACCCCCCTCTGCTCTCCGCCCCCGACCGCCAGCACAGGGAAGGACTCCCAGGCAGGTAGGGGCAGGGCCCCGGGCTCCTGACTCACTGGGCAGCCATCGCGGCCACGGCCTCCAGGCTCCCGTAGCCACCTGCAGCGAAGCTGTCCTTGTAGCGGCCCAGGTCCAGGGCGTCCAGCCACGCGCCCACGGAGCCGAAGGAGGGAAAGGTGGAGAAGGCACGGTCCGCCAGTGGGGTGGGAGGCCTGGGGAGCAGAGGAGCTGCGCTCAGTCCGCAGCAGGGATGGGTGCCCAGACTTGGTCACTCTGCTGAGGAGAGGCCAGCTGAGAAAGGATGGGTGACCGAGCCCCCGGGCAGACCTGGCTCCACGGGGTGCGAGGCATCACCAGAGCAGGTGAGGGCTGCAAGATACCTGGGCAGGTAGGTAGAGAGAAGGTTGCACCTGAGCCCTGTAAAGGTCCTGGGCATATATGGACCAGCCTGGGTAGGGTAGGACATTCCTAGGATGCTTTGGGAGGTGACCCATGTTATATTTGGGACAACTAATGCTCATTCCACTCATTTTATAGTCGGTGGTCACTGTACGGGACGTGTGAGGCAAAACCCAGGACAAGTAGAGTGACTAAGAAGGATAAAAATTTATATGTGTCTGAGGCAAGCAGAATATCAGATTTATCTAGGGCAACTGGGTATGCAGTCATACCTGGACAGGTGTGGTAGGCTGGGGTGGGGTAGGAGGTGGGGTAGGACTGGTGGGGTAGACGAGGTGAGTTTGGACAGGTGGGGTAGACCAGGTGGGGTAGGCTGGGGTGGGGTAGGCCAGGTGGGGTAAATGAGGTGGGATAGGACATGTGGGGTAGGACAGCTGGGGTACGACAGGTGAGGTAGGCCACGTGGGGTAGGCCAGGGTGGGGTAGAGTAGGTGGGGTAGGCCACGTGGGGTAGATGAGGTGAGATAGGACAGGTGGGGTAGGACAGGTGAGATAAGAGAAGTGGGGTAGACGAGGTAGGATAGGACGTGTAGACGAGGTGGGGTAGGTCAGGTGGAGTTGACCAGGTGGGGTAAGCCAGGTGGGGTTGACTAGGTGGGGTAGGCCAGGTGGGGTAGGGGGTGATTGTACCCTGGCCATGCAGGGAGGCCACCCATGGAGAGGTGAGAGGTCGGCCGTATCTGGTGGTTGGGGATAGACGGGAGTGTACCTGGGACAAATGAGGCTTCAGCTGTACCTGGGAGAGGTGGCCGTGGCACACTTTGGGGGTTCTGGGTCCTGCACCATCTTGCTCAGGATACTGTGGATCTGAGAGAACCTGGGCCGCTCGCCCGGGTCCTTCTGCCAGCAGTCGAGCATCAGTCGGTGTAGCAGGGAGGGGCAGTGCCTGGGGGGTGGCAGCCGGAAGCCGTCCTCCACTGCCTTGATCACCTGCGCCGCGGAGGTGGAGGTGAGGGGCAGACAGGAAGCTTGAAGTCCCTCTAGCACAGGCACACAGCCCATCCGAGGGAGCCCAGGCAGGGACCGGGCAGGACCGGAAGCAAGTGGATGGACAGCGAAGAGGGGCCTGGGGCCAGGGGTCAAAGGGCAAGGGGCAGAGGTTGGGGGGTGGGCCCTGAGGTCACTCACGTCTTGGCCAGACATGTCCCAGTAGGGCCGCTCCCCAAAGGCCATCACCTCCCACATGACGACACCAAAGCTCCACACGTCACTAGCAGAACTAAAGTGTCCAAACTGAAGCGTCTCGGGGGCGGCCCACAGCGCGGGGCTCCGGCCACTCTGCGGACGGGGGGCAGGTCAGGGCCAGCAAGGGATGGGCCCGCACACCCAGGGGCCCACCCCACGGAGCCCCAGATCCAGCCCCACCTGCCACCCTCCCAGCTGCATCTCCAGGGAAGGCCCCCCGTGGTGTCCACACTGGCCCTTATTTGGGGCCAACTGGGTGGAGGGGCAGGGACGCCTCACCATGGTGGTGTAGACAGCCTCTGCGCGGTCCCGGGGGCCCCGTCCAAAGCCAGAGATCTTGCAGATAAGGCCGCTGGTGACTAGCACCCGGCGGGCCGCCAGGCCCCGGTGGACGTAGCCCATTTCCGACAGATACTTCATGGCCGACGCCAGCCCGGGTAGCAGGCCCAACAGCTGCCCAGCCGCCAGCTGGCCTTCGTGCCGCTGCAGGCGGAAGGGCCACACATTCAGTCCCCTGGGGCTGCGTGACCCCGGGAAGCCCGCTGGCCCTACCTGGCTCTGCCCCAGGGCCCACCAGCTCAGCCTGGCCAGCGGGCAGCTTTTTGGGGAATGATGCCGAGTGCCAGTCCCCCCAAGGAGAAAAGTGAGGGACGAAGCACAACAGGGTCAGTGGTCGCCCCTGGGGCCCAGGCCACTCACCCGCAGGAAGCCGTCCAGGGCCCCATGGCTCATGTACTCGGTGACAATCATCAAGGTGCTTCCTGCGCCCAGGGATGGGGAAGGCGCACTCTAAGTTGCCTGCTCCCCTCTGCACGCACACATGCACCCTCCCACCCCCTACCCCTGCCACCTGCCCCCCACTCCCCACCAGCCTCTGGCCAGCCTCCCACATGGCCCAGGATCCCCTAGGCCAAAGAACAGAAGAGGGGACATCTGGAGGAGGACAGGGGCCAAGGTCGAGGAGCTGCAATAAGTCTGCTAGGAAAGGTCACCCGAGGTCCAAGCGACACACTCCCACAGCGTCACTGCAGGGCGGAAAGGTCATTCAAGGTCAGAAGGGCTGAGTCAGTGAAAGAAAGCTGCAACCTTGTCTGCACACTGGGCAGCTTAGGGGCTGGAGAAAGGGCCTAGGGGACTAGGGGCCCCCCTGCCACCCCCAGGCTTGCGGAGCACGCGGCCCTACCTCGGGTGATGACACCCTCCAGCCGCACCACGTGGCTGTGGTCGAACTGGCCCAGGGTGAGGGCCTCGGCCAGGAAGCTGAGCCTCTGAGAGTCAGAGCAGCCGTCCCTCAGCGTGTGCACGGCCACGGGCAGCTCCTGGCGGCCGGGGAGCTGCAGGCAGCCGAAGGACAGCTCCCCGAAGCGCCCTGTGGGGAAAGAGCACCTCAGACAGTCCCCTGGAGCTCACTCACCCCCCGCCCCCCTCTGCCAACCCAGGCAGGGCGAGCAGCTTCTGGATCATGCGGGCAGTTCATGGCCTGGGGCTCAGAGCCCCCAAGTTCAAACCTGGTGAACTGAGTACCAGCCATGTGACGCGGGCTTCGAAGTCGCCACCTTGGCTCTGCACAAGGCAGCTGTCGTGCCCGTTTTACAGACAAGGAACGGGTTCAGAGCATCGAGGCATGCAACTCTGGTCACACAGCTGGGCAGTGTAGACCAGGACTAGCACTCAGGTGTGTCTGGTCCCCAAGTTTGCAAATGCTCCTCCCCAAGCCACGAAGACCTGGGACCACACCTCTGCCAGTGGCAGCCTGCAGAGGCTGGCCGGGACAGGGCTAGAGTGACGGGGGCATGGGGGCACCAGGAGAGGGCAGGAAGGCAGGATCACAGACCCCTCCGCCATCCCCTTCCCCGTAACCTGGTGGCTGCAGGTCCCATTTGGTGCAGAGCTGGCCCTCCTGGGCAGACCAGGACTGGGGTGAAGGCAATGAGGGAGGGCCTGGGGGCAGAGGTGGGGTCGGGGGGCAGGTGGGGGCTCTTGGGATGGACAAGGCTTCCTGGCTGCCCGGCTTGCCTGCTCCTAGGCTTTTCTCCAGTGTGACGGTTTTTGCATCCAGCTCCTTGGCAAACAGATGAACGGCCTGCAGTGGGTCTCCACAGCTCTGGGGGTCTAAGAACGTGCGGCGGGTCGGGACTTTGACTGGAATGCAGGGAGAGACAAGGGTGGGCTGGAGGACGGGGGTCGGCCCGGGGGTGGGAGGGGTTATAAAGGGCGGCAAGGAAGAGGGCCACAGAGGGGCCAGGCGACAACTCACAGTGGAAATACAGTTCCTCCTCGTCATGGGCATCCTGACCTCCTTTGCCATAGCGGCAGGGCCTGGGGAGGTGCAGAGTCATGCTTTGAGCCACGCGGCCCCAGCCCTTCCCCTCTCACCAGCGCCCAGGGTGGCAGCACCTTATCCCTCCAAGAACCTTAAGGTCTGTGCCCTCGCGGAGGGACCTTCTCGTCTTATTTTGAAAGCTCCTCCCCACAGCTGACAGACAATGCCAGCCCCAGACCTAACTCCTCGCCCCGATCAACACTTCTAATTAGTTGCACTCGGAGCCACAATTGCACACTCTTGCAACTCCCGATGCACCTGAATCCATACCCCCTGACCTTGAACCCAAGCCGCCTGCCTGAGAACAGGTGAGCAATTGGGCGGCCCTGGCACTCACGGGCAGCCACGGTCTAGCCAGGGAAACAGGCCCTGAGGGTCAGTGGCAAGACCGCTCACAGGTCCAAGTGGAAAAGAAGGGCGATGTGCTGGGGGGACACATAGCAGATGGGCCTGACTCGTCCCAGAGCATCCAGGATGGCTTCCCGAGGCAGATGTGGCCATGGACCAAAGGACTGCGTCACCATCAACAGAGCCACTGGCTGGCGTCAGGGGCTGCTGAGCAGGGCCTCGCTGGCCCAGAGGAGAGCCCCCGGGGGCGCTGAGCAGGTGAGCGCCGTGACTCAATCTGCACTGTAGGAAGACCACGCTGGCGTAGCTGTTGTCCCTGCAGGACCTGGCAGCGGGTCGGCCTACAGTGTGAGCATGGGCTCAAGTGACGTGTAGGTGCTGGGGCCGCAGGGCTGCAAGCCTGCTAGGAGGCAGAAAGGAGGAGGGAGGGAGAAGGTAGGCATGGCTCTCGTGTTCTGGGTTGCCTGACAGTTGGCGGTGGTGCCATTTATGGGGACGGGGAGAGGAAAAACTCGAGCCCAGCCTATGGGAGTCTGCAGAGCCCACGGGATAAGAAGGGAGGGGTGCAGGGTAGGGAGTTAGACGTGAAGGTCAGCAGGGGGTATTGGAGGAGAGGTCTGCTCTGGAGCTCCAGTGCAGGAGCTGGGGCATCGTCCAGGAAGAGGACAGAGCCTGGGAAGTGGGACTGTGAACAAGTCTGCGGATCCCGACGTTTAGAGGCCGGGTGGAGAGGAGGAAGAGGCCATGGAGGAGGTCACAAAAGACCCGCCAGACAAGTGGAAGGGAAACAGAAGGCAAATCAGGGGTGGCGACGGACGTCACAGGAGCGAAGGAAAGAAAAAGTGGAGCAGGGGAGGGAGACAGCGGGAGGGCCATGTTTCTAGATGGATGGGAAACGGGGCAAAGGCTGTCATTTAGGATCAAGTGGTCACGATGGTGGTCAGCAGCACGGGCTCTGGGGCCTCACGCAGGGACCGGCTTCCCAGCTGCCCCTGCTCAGTAGCTGCAGGATTGGGTGGCTCGGATTTCTCTTTAATAAAATCGGGATAAAAACAAAAAAAACCAAAACATAAAAAATAAAAAAAATTAAAAAAATAAATAAAATCGGGATAAAGACAGCCCTGCCTGACACAGCACAGGTGCGCAGAGCTTACTAAGCACTCCATAAGTGTCCGCTGTTATGTGGGGCAGAGGGGGACATTAGAAATAGTAGGGGATCCCTGGGTGGCTCGGCAGTTTAGTGCCTGCCTTCACCCCAGGGCATGATACTGGAGTCCCGGAATCGAGTCCCACGTCAGGCTCCCCGCATGGAGCCTGCTTCTCCCTCTGCCTCTGTTCTCTGCCTCTCTCTCTCTCGAATAAATAAATAAATCTTAAAAAAAAAAAGGAATATAGGATGCCTGCGATGGAGAGAAGGGGTGGGCTTCAGAACACAGCAGGGAGGGCTAAGAGGAAGGCACTTCCCCTCGAGCAAAGGGAGTGGATGGGCGCAGAGACAGCTGGGTGTGCGGACCTGGGGACCAGGAGCCAGGCGGCCCATGATGCAGCAAAGGAGCAGGTGCAGCAGATATGGCCGAGGAGGCAAGTGGAAAGGACAGGCCACCTGCGGCGCATAAGCGGACGGGCCAGACGCAGTACCCGGGGTGATGGCCGGGTCCGTGGCAGGAAATGGGAGAGGAAGGTGGAGGTGGAACGAAGACAAGGTCCTTGGGAATGAGGAAGCCAAAGAACTGAGAAGCCAGGGGGTGGGACGGGTCGTCTAGGGGCCACTGAAGTCCCCAGAGTGGTGGCGGAACCTCCACGAAGGAGGAGAGCATCCAGGAAAGGCGGGTGGGGAGGAGGGGGCAAGGCTGAGCTGATGGAGGAGTCGCAGAGGACCCGAGAAGCTTCCCCTGGACAGCACCCTCCGGCGAGAAGTGGGATGAGCCAGCGTGGAGCAGGGAGGGGAGGCGGAGAGGAGGACACCCCGCACACAGCCCGTACTGCAGGGACTCAGAGATGTCAGCCCGAGCGGCGCAGGACCACCACCTGTGCCCATCAGCACCTGACCCGCAGATCCTGCCCATTTCTGTGCCATTGGATTTTGAGCAGGTGCGGAGACCGACCCCCGGCTTACGCTACCCGCCTGAGCGCACCTGTCTCCCAGGTGCCCGTGGGCAGCTGTCCTGCACTGTCCCTGCCCGGAGGGGTGTGAGGAGCCTCCTCCTGCCCCCCCTGAGCCCCTGAGCCCCCAGCCAGGACAAGAGGCTCTCAGCTCCTGTCCATTCCTGCTTTTCCAACAGGCCCAATACGGGTGTCTAAGCCCCAGAAAGGAGCTCCCTATTCCTGCCCTGCCCTCCTGACTGTCCTGGCCCCCGGCAGAGGGGCTCCTGCACCGCAGGTCAAGGTGCTCCCCTCCTCGGTCACTTTCAGCGCTTCACAGGAGGCGAAGCTGCCCCTGCAGCCCACCCACAGGCAGTGAGACGCCCAGGGGCGGAGAGGGCTCCCCAGCAGCCATCCTCTCCTCTGCTCCCCGCCCTCGCTCCAGCTCATCACATGCAGACCTTCTGGCCCCCAAGTCTGCTGACCTCAGCCCCAGCCGGGCACCTCTGTGTGGGACCAAGTGTGGCCCCGGGGAGGAGGCGGATATACATGCCATGAGGTTTCCGCTGCGTGCAAAAGGACTGGAATCTTCTCTGAACCAAACTCAAGCTCCCCACCCTTCCCCCTCCTCCCATCCCCCTTCTCTGGCCACTCTCCTGTAGGCTTCCTTCTGCAGGGGGTGGCGGGAGGGGCAGCTGGTGTATGAGTCCCCCTCCTGTCCTCCCCCCTCCCACACACACAATTTTTGCCTTTCTTCCCTCTGCCTGTGTTCAAGGGCCTCAAGATCCCTTGCGGGCAGGGGCTGGGGGCCTCTGAGCGCCTCTGGAGAATCCTAATCGCACCGGAGCAGCCGGAGCTGGATTCCATCCTCAGCGATGCCTTCTGACATTTAATGAGTTAAGGAGCTAAATCCCCTTCATCCCAGAGAGGCTGAGGCTGAGCGAGCTGCAGGCTGCCGCAGGAGCAGGGAGTGGGGGAGGGGCCTGGATCTGCACCGCAGCATGCTGGCGTGTGCAAATCTGCATGTGTGCAAACACAGGTACAGGCCGCGGGGCCGTGAGCACACGTCCATGGGCACGGGGACCCCACCCACCGGGAGTCAGCCGGGCGCACGGGGACCAGCCACCTACCTTCTCCACATGGCCAGCACACTCATCACAGAGCCCAGGACCAGGAGGGCTGAGACGGTCACCACGGTGACGACAACCGCAGGGTTGTGGTCCCTGGGCCCGGAGGCAGCTGGGGATAAAGCAGGAGGCTGAGGCAGGCAGAGGGCCAGGCTCCTGGGGGTGCCCTGGGGCCCAGGGAGCTTCCTCCTCTCCCAGGCTCAGCGCCTCCACTGCGCTCCAGCTGTGCAACAGAGGACCCCGGGGTCTGGACAGGCAGGCCTGGGCCTCCCTTGTCGCCTTTCAGTTGGACACCGTAGCTCTGTAGGGGGAGCGGCCACTCACGGAGCTCCCAGCCGCAGGCAGTTACAGTAAGAGTTAACATTTAAGATCCTGTGCCCCGGGGCCTTAACTAAACCACCCCGTTGCACCTGCACCTGCATCACAACAAGCCAGGCAGGCCGTGTTGTCTCCATTTCACAGCTGGGTTGACCGACATTGATATAAGTCACCTGCTTTGTCCGAGGCCCCACGACTAATAAAGGGTGAACCTAAGACTTGAACCTGATTCCAAAAGCCTCTACTGTGAACTATTTCCCCAAGAGAGGGGCCCCGAAGACCCCAGGCTCTCAAGCCCATCTATCCATCCCTCCATCCCTCTATTCATCCATCCAACATGTGGATGACAGGCTGGCGCCAGCCCTCGAGACACAGTGATGAATGGCCCAGAATCCCTGCCCCAGAGGAGTGCCCAGACCAGGGAGGGAGACAAAGTCCTCGCTGCAGAATGAACTGACACAGAGAGCTGAGCGGAGGCTCACCCGTGTCTTCCTGAAGCCTGAGAGGAAGGCTTCACAGATGAGGTGGGGCATCTGCCTTGGGCCTGGGAGCCCGGAAGGGTTTGGTGCCCACGCTAGGTCTGGGAAACGCAGAGCCTCCCCGTGGCGCTGGGAAAACAGGCTGCGTGGGGGCCCAGAGCGGCCAGATGTGAGGCTGGACGGGGGAAGGAGAAAGGGAACCGGGGGGCAAGACAGCATCTGAAGGGCCTGGGATGCCAGGCCAGGGAGCCGGGACGTCATCCTGAGGGTGATGGGGAGCAAGGGAGCCACAGACAGAGTTCCTGGCCCAGGGGAACAGGACGATGCTATCTGCTAGTGGGTGGGCAGCAAGGATGGGCAGGAGGGGCCCGGGAGGGGTCCCGGTTTGGGAAAACTATTGAGGATGGGGAAGATGTCGCATAGCCCTGAAGACTCCATTGAGACCAGATGAGACATGGGACACAGGACTCGGGCCAGCTCCGGGCTCCAGGCTCAGGGACAAGCAGGGCGGGTGCTGCGCAGCGTCCAGGGATCGAGGGTCAACAGGGGGAGGGGAGGGGTATTTCCTAGCAGAGGATCCGGGGGGGCTGGGCGGCTGGGCCACAGGGGGCGGGGAGGGGGCTCACAGCTGGGAGATGAGGTCAGATCCCCACGGCTGTTAGGAGGATGTCACAGCCACGTGACACGGGACAGAAGAGGAAGGGAGGGTCAGAGACCAACAAGGCCAAGGTCAGTGAGGGGATCGTAGAGCCCACGGTTGCAGAGGTGCGGATGGGACCGGGGTCTGGCCGGGCCCGAGGTGGGTGGAGCTGCCAAGAACTGTTTGAGATGCGGTGTCCACGGTGTCCACGGGGACAGGCCTCTGAGACGCGCCGGGGATTCCCCACCTCTTGGTATTCAGTCCCTCAAGGGTGGGTTTGACATAGTGACTTGTTTCTAATGAATAGAAGGCAGCCAAAGGGATAGGATGTCACCTCCAAGATGAGGCGACAAAAGAGACGGTGGTTTGGCTTAAGAAACCCCCACCCCGGGATCCCTGGGTGGCGCAGCGGTTTGGCGCCTGCCTTTGGCCCAGGGCGCGATCCTGGAGACCTGGGATCGAATCCCACGTCGGGCTCCCGGTGCATGGAGCCTGCTTCTCCCTCTGCCTGTGTCTCTGCCTCTCTCTCTGTGTGTGTGTGTGACTATCATAAGTAAATAAAAAACTAAAAAGAAAAAAGAAACCCCCACCCCCAGTCCCTCACTCGCAGTCTCTGAAAGAATCGAGTTGCTGTGTGATGAGGAGCCCTAGGGAGAAGCCCAAGGGGCGGAGAACTGCGTGCATCCAGCAAAAAACAGCCTGTGAGAACCCAAGCCTTGAGATGACCGCAGCACGAGGGGCCCTGAGCCAGTGGCGCCCCGTTAAGCTGCACCCAGAGAGGCCTGGCCTGCAAAAACCACCAGAGAACAAATGTCTGCGGTTTGCAGCCCCTCGCCTTGGGGTAACTCGTTATGCAGCAGTGGGTAGCTGATACGGTCCTTTATCATGCTCCTGCGTTAGGGTTCCGGCTCACTGGGGGAAGGGCTCTGCAGACCGGGAGACCTATTCCCCCAGAGCCAGGGCCACAGCACAGGAGGTCGGGGGTCCGAGCAGTGTCTACTCACCGAGAAGCACCAGGTGAACGGAAATCATCAGCCCATTCCAGCTAACAGCCCCCAGCTCCTGCCCCGACCTCCCTCGCTCCTGCCAAACCTGGGCGCCTCTGCTCGCATGGGATTCCTCTACCCAAAATGTTTTCCCTGCCCACCTCCACAGGTCGAATGCTCCCCAGCCTTCAAGACGGGGCTCTAATCTCCCCCTGCCAGCACCTGGCCGAGGTCTGGCACAGACAGGCGTTCCAGCAAGAAGTGCTGTCTCTCTTCCCAGAACCCAAACTCCCTCAACATTTTATCTCCACCTCCCTTTGGGCTCAGAGCTCTTCCTATCTTGGATTAGACTCATGTAGCAGGTTGGAAAGAATTATTATCTTGACAGCTGGTGTCAGAATGCCTCTTAGGGGGAACTGCCTTTGTCCAGGAAAATACTTTCATGAACTGCTCGGGGCAGATAGAGGTGAGACCCTGAGGGCAGGGTTAGCAGCAGGCAAAACCACCAAAGCCACAGCTAAGCAGTTCATCTCTCCCCATGAAAGGGGATTTGGGGGTGGCTGGGGGAGAAGAGGAGCCAGGGGACGGAGGTGAAGGGACCAAGCGGGTAGCACAGGGTATCTGATGTTCAGCTTTTGTTCTGTCGTGTGTCCGGGTAACAGCATTATTGGAGAAATTATTCGCGTAGCATACAACTCCCCCCACGGAACGCAGGCAATCCTCACTTTGTGTTGTTTTGTTTATGGCCGTAGCGCAACCCCTTTGTGTCCCCAACCTTCAGTGACGTGTGCTTCTCACTCCAAGGCCCAGTGGGGAAAGGGGTGGCATCCCACGGTTGAGTCTATGTCACGGCTGAGAGGGACAAGCAGAACGGGAAAGAATCTAGCCGTCAGAGCAAGAAGGGACCAGGAGGCTAAACCTCCTCCCAAGAAAATAGCAAGAATCTTGGAGAGAGCACGGGATGTTTCTAGAAGACATGGGAGGTCCTGAGAGGCTGGGAGACCACAGCTGAGACGTGGCTTCTGCAGCCCCTACCCCGTGAGCTCCCCCAGGACAGGCCCCCCATTTAATTCACAGCATGAATAGGCCCTAGTGGGTGGATTCCAAATTCATTAATTATTTAGGTTGTCGTTAAACCGTTCTGCAGGCTCCCTTAATTGCACAGATAACCACCCCCTCCCCAGGCTGTGTCCCCACCCCAGCCCCATCCGGGGAAGAGTTTTCCCTGCCCAGACCCTGCCCACTCACGCACACCACTTACCCTCCCCTGGGGTCTGCACTTCAATGGAGGGATTGAAGCTCTGGGTCTCCCAGGAGGGTCCCGGGGAAGCCGCCCGGATCTGAAAGACGTAGCGGGTAGCCGGCTTCAGGTTGGTGACAGTGACCGCAGGTGCCCCTGTCTTCACCGTGGAGTAAGTCTGTTCACTCTGACCCTGAGGAAGGACCAAGATGTGAGGCCTGGATCCAGGGCCAGACCTGAGCTGCTTGGAGAATGATGGGGGGGGTGGGGTGGAGAAGTGCCTTTAGTCCTTAGTTGAGCTCACAGCAGGACCCTCCACAGTCTGGGGAGGGTCCCCACAGGTTTCTTCCGTAGGCTCCCCAACCCCTCTCTCCATCCAGGCTCCCACCTGCAGTCAACAGTCCCTGAGGCTTAGAGCAGTAAGAGAAACTTTAGAGAAGACACTAGACCCCCTTCTTGGGGACGGACATCAGGCGCTGGCCGTCCAGAGGCTGAGTTGGGCCTGATGCCTCAGAGGAATGAGAAAAGGCCTGACACCTGCCCGGCCCCTGTCGGTTCACAAAAGCTTTTCCTTCTCTTTGTCATCTGGTTTTCACAAGGTCCTGCAAGTCACGAATTCACAGACAAGGAATCCGGCACAGAAAGGTAGAGAGCCCACCTGAGGCCCCCACTGGACAGTGGGGACAGTGACAACTGTCACGGAGTGAGCATCAGCTCACTGCCAGCTGCTATGCTAGGCTCTTTAGAGGCCTGGCTACATACAGCGCTCACAACAGCAATTCTTTCTTCTTTGGTAGGTGACAGTCACATCAAGGAAGGGTCAGAATGACACCGTCTTGATGCCTTCAGGTTGCGTGCTCTATCTCTATATCACACGGCCGCCAGCGCATCTGATGCTGTGTCCTGGAGACGCAGCCATCATTTCGTCTCTGCCCGCCGCCCTCCCACCTTATTAGAGCCCCTGCCACTCCCACGGCCCCCTGTCATCACATGGCCCAGTTCTGTGGCCACCGTATTCAGGCTTGGGGCAGAAACTGGGCCAATCAGCACCTCCCTTCCAGGTATCTGACTGGCCATGGAAAGATAGTGAGACAGTGGCTGCAGGTGGGACCTCTGAGACTGGTGAGGGGGGTGGGGGTGGGCGGAGCAAAGAGGCAAGGCTGCCAACCCGGGCAGCTGTCACGTGCCCTGAGCAAGCCCCCGGGCAGAGGACGCAGGACTGGTGTGCACACAGAAGTGCAGGTGAGGAGCAGCCTCCGACACCTGTGGTCCCTGGGTTCCGGGCGATGCCCCTGCAGCCCTTGAAACAGAGCTCCTGTTGTACAGACTCTGCTTTTCAAGGGTTCTTGTTCCCTCAGATTCACACCCCCTTAGGGCCTGGAGTACCCAGCCAGCTCAGCTTCGGGACTCTGTCTCTATGCCCTGACAACCCCCCCCCCCCCCCCGCCAGTGTCGGCTCAGCTCCCAGCCCTATGCTGAAAGGCCCCACCGCTCCTTCTCCCAGGACAGGCCTCTGCCTCGAGCTGCAGACCCACAAAGCCCACCCAGAGGTGCCAACACTGCAGCGGCCAACCCAAGCTCACCCTCTTAACCCAGACCTGCTCCTCCTCCTCAGCTGGTGGCACCTTTGCCCCCTAGATCATCCAGCAGTGACTCAGGAGTCCCTCCTCCTTCGTGTTTGCGCCCCACCCCCCAACTCACAGCTCTCAGTAGACTTCCAGTATTCAAAAACTATTATCTGATTCAGCCAAGAAGTCCCCAAGAGTCACTAAGGGGTGAGTGAAGTTCTGACACATGAAATGCTGAAGATGAAAGCAAGGTTTCGCTTGGATGAATAAAATTTGCACCAAGGTGAGAAACACTATTAACTCTACGTATCAGGGATCCCTGGGTGACGCAGCGGTTTGGCGCCTGCCTTTGGCCCAGGGTGCGATTCTGGAGACCCTGGATCGAATCCCATATTGGGCTCCCGGTGCATGGAGCCTGCTTCTCCCTCTGCCTGTGTCTCTGCCTCTCTCTCTCTCTCTCTCTCTCTCTCTCTCTGTGTGTGTGACTATCATAAAATAAATAAAAATTTAAAAAAAATTTAAAAAAATAAAAATAAATAAATAAATAAATAAATAAACTCTACGTATCATATTCAGAGACAATAAATGTATGGGGCAAAGAGATAGTGGGTCGGGACACAGCTCCATTTGTCAAGTCGAGGCTGAACTGCAACCACAGATTTGACAACAGAGATACAAGAAGTCAGCAGAAATGGGGAAAAGCATCCTATAAGGACCCGCGGGCTGTATAAGGAGCACCGTGTATCTTTTCTTCTTATTTGTAAAACGATGTATGACACACCCTGTGTATCAGTAACATTGTAATAAGAATTCATCATTCATTCATTGCTCTGGAGGCCAGGGTGTTAGACATTCACCGGCAGCAGCACACCCGCCAAGTTCTAGGGGACGCCTCCCCTCGGTCATACATTTTCGTGAATTTTGAAACAATATGGTATTTCTGCATTCTTTCTCTTAAATAGTTGCAAAAATAAAAAATAAAAAATAAAAAATAAAATAGGGTTGCAAAATTGCACGTATGGCGTCTGGCCACGGGAGACCTGCATCAGCCCCCAGGGAAGGTTCTCAGGGGGCTGCAAACAGCATACAAAGCGGTGACGATGGAGGTTGCAGAGTGGTGAGGAGCGAGGGGGGGACCAGCAGGTGGGCGGCCGCGCCCTGCACCCAGCGGGAGGCCACCTAGAAGGCCGGGGATTTGCTCACGACGGAAGGTAAGGAGGCTTTTGCAGAGAGAAGGTAGGGAAGGAAGCAGAAGCGCCGAGGGGACCGACCTCAGCCCCCGAAGGCAGCCCCAGGTCCCGCCCCAGACCCCGCCTCACCTTCTCGTAGTATCGGATCTCGTACTCGGTGCCGTTAGCCCCCGGGGCTCCGGCGGGGACAGGCTCCCGCCACGACAGGGACACGCTCTGGGGCTCCACTCGGTCCCTGCGGATCTCATCCTCCTCCCAGGGCGCTGAAAGTAAGGAAGGCGGGGGCGTCTCCGCGGGATCCCGCCGCTGGATGCCACCGCGGGGCAGGGGGCTGGAAGGGCGGGCCTGCAGGCAGGGGCAGGGGCCAAGGGCAGGGGCGGGCAAGTGGGCGGGGCTGCGGACAGGGCGGGGCCAGGGGCGGAGCGTGTGGGTGGAGCGGGGGCCAAGGGGCGGGGCATGCACGCAAGGGGCGGGGCGTACGTGTGGGAGGCGGGGCCAGAGGCTCCTGGGGGCGTGGCCTCCGCTGTCCAGTCCTGAAACCGGAGGGGAGGGAGGCTGCTCACCCCCAGCTCTCAGCTCGCCCTGTTTCTGCTTCTGGGGGGAGGGGGGGACGCGGGCAAGCCACCTGCTGCCTGCCCACCCCCTGCCCTCCAGCAGCCCTAGTGGCGGCTGGTTCTAACTCTCCAGGTTCTTTCTACACTTTTTGTGGTTTGGAGACATCAAAGAGCACAGGAGGCAGGTAAACAACCTCCTTAGCTCTTCTAACAGTCTGGTCAAGAGGCAATACACTGGGCGCACTAGGGACCGCAGGAAACTACTTCGTCATAATAGAGACCATATATGAAAAGCCACAATGAATATGCTCAAAGGTGGTAAACTGAAAGCCTTCCCTTGAAGATCAGGACCGAGGCAAGGATGTCCACGCTTGCACTTCTATTTAACATAGTACCGAAGTCCTAGCCAGAGAGCTTCGGCAAGAGAAAGAAACCAAAGGCACTGAGATTGGAAAGAAAGAAGTAAAGTTATTTCAGTCCGCGGGTGACATAATCTTGTACATAGAGAAAATCCATAATCTTGTATGTAGAGAAAATCTTAAGAATTCCACAAAAGCCCTGTTAGAAATAAGTGAATACAGCAAAGTTGCAGTATACAAAGCCAATAGACAAAAATCAGTGGTGTTTCCACACACTAACAATGAACAATCTGAACAGGAAATGAAAAAAAAATCTCGCTTATAATTGCAGCAAAAAGAATAAAATACTTAGGAATAAACTACACAAAAAATGAGCAAACATTGCTGAAAGAAATTAAAGAAGAATAAATGGAAAGACATCGTGTTTATGGAGTGGAACACTTAATATTGTTACAATATCCTTGCTACCCAAAATGACCTACAAATTCAGTTCAGGTCCTATCAAAACCCCAAAGGTGTTTTCTGCAGAAATAGAAAAGAAATCCTAAAATTCATATAGAAAATCAAAGGACCATGAATAGCACTATGATCTTTTTTTAATTAATTAATTTATTTATTTATTTACGATAGTCACACGAGAGAGAGAGAGAGAGAGGCAGAGACACAGGCAGAGGGAGAAGCAGGCTCCATGCACCGGGAGCCCGACGTGGGATTCGATCCCGGGTCTCCAGGATCGCGCCCTGGGCCAAAGGCAGGCGCCAAACCGCTGCGCCACCCAGGGATCCCAGCACTATGATCTTGAGACAGAAAAACAAGGCTAGAGGCCTTGCACTTTTTGACTTCAAAAACATTGCAAGGACACCATAATCAAAACGGTTTGTCACTGTGTATAAAAACAGAAATACAGACCAACTGAACAGAATAGAGAGCCCAGAAATGAGCCTTCACATATACAGTCAAATGATTTTTGATAAGACTGCCAAGCCTACAGTGGGGAAAGGACATTCTTTTTAAGAAACCATGCTGGGAAAACTGATTATCCACATGCAAGAGAATGAAGTGGACCCTTACCTCACACCACATATAAAATCTAGCATGAAATGAATTATAGACCTAAATGTACGACCTGTAACTATAAACGTCCTAGAACAAGAAAATAAGTAAAATTTGCCATATAGAAAATGAGAGGGGTGCCTGGGTGGTTGAGTGTCTGCCTTTGGCTTAGGGCGTGGTCCTGGGGTCCTGGGACCCAGTCCCACCTCGGGTTCCCTGCAGGGAGCCTGATTCTCCTTCTACCTGTGTCTCTGCCTCTCTGTGTGTCTCTCATGAATAAATAAAATCTATAAATAAATAAATAAATAAATAAATAAATAAATAAATCTATCTATCTCTTGGAGAAAATATAGAGGGGTGCCTGGGTGACTCAGTCAGTTAAGAGTCTGACTTTTTTTAAAGATTTATTTATTTATTTTAGAGGGAGAGTGAGAGAGCGAGAGCAAGTGGAGAGGCAAAGGGTGAGGTGGGGAGAGGAGAGAGAGAGAGAGAATCCCCAACCAGACTCCCTGCTAAGCTCAGAGCCCTGATGCAGGACTCAGTCTCACAACCCTGAGATCATGACCTGAAGCAAAATCAAGAGTCGGACACTCAACTGACTGAGCCACTCAGGTGCCCCTGTGTCCAAATTTTGAACTCAGGTCTTGATCTCAGGGTCATGAGTTCAAGTCCTGTGCTGGGCTCCTGCCGGACTTGGAGCCTACTTAAAATAAAATTAAAAAATATTTATGGGGCACCTAAATTGCTCAGTCAGTTACACATCTGACTCCTGATTTCTGCTCAGGTCACGGAACTGCTCAGTGGGCAGTCTGCTTCCCCCCCTCCCTCTGTCCCACTGCTGAGTATATAACCCAAGCAAATGAAATCACTACCTTGAAGAGATATCTTCACTCTCATGTTCATTGTAGTATCATTCACAAGAGCCAAGATATGGAAATTACTTCAGTATCTGCTGATGGATGAATGAATAAAGAAAAGAAAATGATATGTGCAAAAAAAAATGCTATTCAGCCATAAAAAAAAAGAAAGAAATCCTGCCATCATCAAGAACATGGATGAACCTTGAGGGCATTATGCTAAGTGAAATAAGAAAGACAGAGACAAATACTGCATGGTTTCACTTATATGTGGAATCTAAAAATAAAACAAAACTCATAGAAACAGAGAGTAGATTGGTGGCTGCCGAGGGCTAGGGGCTGGGGGAAATGGGAGATATTGGTCAAAGGGCACAAACTTCCAGTTAGAAGATGAATAAGTTCTAAGGATCTAATGTACAGCAGGGTGACTCGAGTCAACAGTACTCTATTGTATAATTGAAAATTGCTAAGAGAGATCTTAAATGCTTTCACCACATACACACACACGCACACACACACACACGGTAACTACAAGAGGTGATGGATGTGTTAACTGTTTCATGGTAGTTATTCTACAATATATACACATACTAAATCATCTCACATGGTACACCATGAACACTAACGAGTTATGTGTCAATTATATCTCTATAAAGCTGGAGAAAAAAAAGAAAATGTGATATAGGCATACAACGGAATATCATTCAGCCAAAAAAAAAAGAAGAAGAAAGAAAGAAAGAAAGAAGAAAGAGAGAAAGAAAGAAAGAAAGAAAGAAAGAAAGAAAGAAAGAAAGAAAGAAAGAAAGAAATCCTGTCACAGGCTAGGACATAAATGAACTTGGAGGACATGAATCCAAATGAAATAAGCCAGTCACAAAAAGACAAATACTGCATGACTCCACTTATATGAGGTATCTAAAGTAATTAAGCTTAGAGGGGATCCCTGGGTGGCTCAGCAGTTTGGCGCCTGCCTTTGGCCCAGGGCACGATCCTGGAGACCCGGGATCGAATCCCACATTGGGCTCCAGGTGCATGGAGCCTGCTTCTCCCTCTGCCTGTGTCTCTGCCTGCCTCTCTCTCTCTATGTCTATCATAAATAAATAAATCTTTTTAAAATTTTTAAAAAATAAAATAATTAAGCTTAGAAACAGAAAATAGAATGGTGGTTTCCAGGGGCCCTGGGGGGAAGAGGGCGAAGAGATGTTTTTGTTCAACAGGTACAGAGTATGAGTTTTGCAAGATGAAAGAGTTCGGAGGTCTGTTGCACAATGATGTGCATATAGGTAACACTACTGCATACTATACACTTAAAAATGGTAAAGTTGGTAAATTGTATATATTTATTTCCCCCACAATAAAAAAAAATATTGGTGCCCGGGTCACACAACCCAAAACAATTAAATCACCTTTGTAGAGGGGGACTCATGCATTAGCATCTTTTTCTTTTTAATCTTCTCAGTGATTCTGATGTGCAGATAGCTTTGAGAATCATTAGTCTAGATAATGTTGGATGGACAGTACTTTAAAAAAAAAAGGTAATAATGCCTGATCTAAGGCAAGGACTGCCAAGTTACTGGGAGGTAAGATCATAGCCTCCCTTTAGGTGTGTTGAGCAGAGGGGTTTCCAAGAGAAGATACTGGATAGGTGGTTTGGGGGCTCACAAAAGCCATCTGGGAGTGAGATGGAGATCCAAGAGCCATCACAGGGTGATGGGATGAAGCTGCCCAGGAGGACGCAGAGAAAGAGAAGCTTTTAGGAAACAAGAATTTAATTTAAGAAGCAAGTAAAGGAGAAGGAGCTCAAAAATGAGCAGCCAGAGAGGTAGCAGGAAAACCAGGAGCAAATGAGATCACAGAAGCCCATGGAGGAGAGCATCTAAGAAGGTTCCCTTCTGACTCTTCCGGTTATTAGCTAGTGGTCCATGAGCAAGAGTCTCTGTTTCCTCACATGTAGAATGGAAAGAATAATGATTTTCCTAGGCTCACTATGAGAATTTTATGAAGTAATGTATATAAAGAGCTTAGGGCAATACCCATCACAGAGCAAGTGCCCCATGCAAGTTTACCAACAAGAGAAGCCCATGGTTGGCAGTGTTATATGCTGAGAAGAGACAGGGTAAGACTCTGATTCAAAGTGTCCTCTGGGTTTAACAATGTGGAGGCTCCTGGTGACTTTAGGAGATTGAGGGAAGCAGATACCAGGTGGCAACAGGGCAAGGAAGTGGAGACAGGACATATACAGCTCACTCTTTGAAAAGCGCATGAATATGGCTTCTAGTTTTAAATGGTAACCATCTAGCAGCCTCCACCTCCAGTCTCTCCCAAATTCTGATTAAAACAAAGGTACAGAAAGAGTTGGAAACCCAGAACATCACCATAAACTAGTCTTGACAGCTGATTGCCAGAATTGGGGGCGGGGGGCGTAGAGTGGCATGTCTCC